TTATAGAACGAGAAAAATATTTATGGAATATCGTATTACTATATTAAGGATAAAATTCGTGACATTTTTTTAGCAGTCGATTATCATCAGCAATCACATGCTAAACTCGAAGTTTGAAATAAATGATTCAACTGTTCTTTATCGATGAACTAGTATACACCAATGCAGTAAGTTAAAGTGAAACAAATATAAATAGTGTACCATGTGCGGTAGTTCAGAAACTTCATCAATAAAGAACAGGTTTATTAAATACATTCGTTACATAAGAAAAGATATGAGCAGTAAGTTAACCTAGACCGGAAAAATAGAAATAAAGAATATTTACGTAATTAGCTAAAACATAATGAAAAATAAAGATTTTTAGATTTATAATAAAAAAATATTAATTACTCCATTTGATTATTTTTAAAGCAAATGTGATAAAGAGGTAATCGCTCATATAATAGCTGACTTAATAAAAAAAGTCTTAAGACTTAATAATCATATTCCTATTATAATGGAATCTGTAAGATATAATTAATCGAGAAATAATTGGTGTTTACTTAAGAGGATGTAAATCTTTGAAATGATCATCTTATATAATAATACGTTAAATGGATATAAACACTACTCTTGAATGTGTTATAATACATCAGTAATAAATTTAATTAAATGTATCATTAACGATAGATTTAACAACTCATGGATTTCTTGTATTGGCGAATATATCAGCAATGATATTTTTAGTCCAAGGAAAAATATTTTCTTTTTTACTACTACTTTTATGCACGTCATAAGTATTTATCATTATTTTTCCTGTACAGCTGTTGATACAAAGCACATCACACGCATACTCATAAATTATTTCACGATCTCGCTTGTAACATTCTTAAGTATATTCTACGATGAAACATAGAGACCGTTCTTTAATCGATCGATAGTTTGTGGCGCTCGTTTTATAACGAGAAATGATAACGTGTGTAATATCTGTTTTTATTTGACCTTACAAGTTTCAAGGGTCTCTTTATGTATGGATTATTTCTTTGATAATACATGAGTCAATGAAATATGTATAAATAAATTTATAGTTCAAACCGATCAAGTTGAAGACCTCAATGTGAAGTATAACGTTTTCTTCGATCATTATTGTCATAACGAAGAAATTTTATCACCCGCAATATTGAGCTTAATTATTTCTTCGTTGACCTTATTAAGTTCCAAGGCAGATCATATAATTCGACCAATCGACTCGTTCCGAGCAAATACAAAAGTGATGTGCGTCAAAATAATTACATATGTACGTAACACATTCATAAATATATAATTTTGTAAAAAACAAAATATTATATTTTATAAACTAATATAAAGAGACAAGGGCAATGAATTCGTTAAAAATCTTTTAAATTAATCTAATATATCATATTTTATGTATTGGCAAAAATATAGGTTACTATTAGTTTATCAGATAAATGTAATACAAATATTATATTTAGATAAAATAAATAAATGTATTACGTTTGCTGTATACAAAGTGTTGACAGAAAAAATAATGATACTGTGCCAAGAAAATTAGAAATAGTAAATATATTATGTAATTAAGAATATATGTTTACTTCAAAACTACAGAATTGCAGCAGAAACGTAAAATAATATGTAGCGAATTTAGTTTAACATGTTACGATAGTTATACATATGTGCAACAAATATCAAGGCAAAACGACTTTTTGTAGCTTTACAGTTTTTGATTGTGCAATATAATTAAAGAAATGTATCAATTACCGTGGGAATTGATCTATTGACAGAGAAACCTTAAGAGGTCTGAAATTGATTTTGATTAATTGCAATTAAGAGAGACATGGATGGTTTCTGATACGTCTAGGAATACATACATATATATATATATATATGTAAAATTTCTTAAAGTCGAGCATTGACAAGTTCATTATTTGTTTAGTGTAAATAATGGTAATACATGATGGTCTGTTCTATATATTTGATAATATTAAAATTGCAATCTTAACAAGTAGACTATTATATTATATTGTACTAAATTGGTTTCTAAGTTTCTAGAAAATTTTCCTCACAAATTGATAGGTTTTAATATGATTACCATTCATTTGGTAGATGACTTATAATGACTTTGGTAGCCAACCTTCAATGATAATTAGAAAGAACTGCACTTGTCTTCTCTTCACTGATAAATATTTTTACATCAAGTGATAAAAGAAAAATTCTCCTTTAAATCATATTATTTATAATAATCAATTCTTGGAGAATTTCAATTTTTTACACATTAAAGTCACACACCATTAAATCACCTTCAACTCATTCCTGTTCAAAGTCAACAAATTGGTTACACTCATTTAAATTTTTACATGCAGTAAACATAAAAATAGGAAACTTTAGTTTAATAGAAATAATATATTGCCGAAAAGAAAATTATTTTCTCAGTCATTGTAGCGATTTTGAACGAAAAAAAAATACACTAAAATCTCAATATTTAAAATAAAAGTCTTGAAACACCTGTCATGAATGTTACGTATTGTTTTCATCCGTCACACGATGTACACGTAACACGGTGCTTTTAGTCATACTACAATTGGAGGTGACTCGAAAGTGCAATTCGCACTTTTATGGAATTAGGTTAACGTGGATTTGAGAACTATCGAACTGACAAAGTATAATAACAACATTGGTGTGAATTATGATCACTGGCTAATTTGAGGTTAAACACGCTGACTTCCGAAAACGTGCTAAAAAGCACGTGGCCATTTGTAACTGCTTTTAAGAGCGGTGAGTCACAAGGATTGCGTAAATCGAAGGACAGCCGATGGAAACTCACTTTAGTGACGTTTCTGCGTCCAGCGGATGTCTCGTATAGCGTGGATGCTCTCTTGCGCGGCATTTTCATCCACGCGGTGACACACGCGACAATATCGGCGCGTGTTCACCCACGTTGCCTAGAGAAGCGCTTTGCTTCGCAAGCCAAGAGTGAAGGCGACAAAGGCAGATATGGCACAAGCAAAGCAGGGCGAGGCGAACCAAACCGAAGCGCGAGCACCGGTGGAACGCCGCACCAAATGCACGTTGCACGACTGCTACCGACCGACGCAACCGTTACGTCGGCTTGCGTCGGCTTCTTTGATGACGATAACTACCTCGTGATCACGTGACTTGGAACAAGCGGTGCCCAACAGCCCAAGCTGGCCCAAGCGATCGATGGAGGTTTACTGCGCCGACGCGGTACACTATTACGTGCAAAATGCAATGTAACACTTTAAAATATTGAGAAGATAGAAAAACTATCGTCTTGAATAACTTACTCGACACGATAAATAGGCAAAAACATTAGCGTAATAAAATGCTATGCTTACTGTTAAGTTGAAGTATAAAGACAGAGCTGGGTATGTATTTAAAATATTTTTATTTGAAAAATAGTATTTATAAGACGATTATGTCTTATGTTATATATTGTATTTTATGAGAATATTTAAAAATATATTTTGTATTTTGCATTTCAGTATTAAATATTGAAAGATCGAAAGTAGCGATATTTTGTATTTTAAATGCTAAGATCGATAATCAATCTTATTATTGAATTATAAAATACAAAAGCTTTCAATTTTTCGATTTTAAATATAGAATATGTAATATTTTTAAATATGCATATGTGCTCTGTCGAAATACAAAATACCAAATAAACTTGTATTGCAAATACTGTTTTAAACAAAAGTATTTTAAATACATGCTCAACACTGAATTTTACAATAAGTGTATTCCATTCGGTATAGAGTTATAGAAGAGAAGTTATAGAAGAGAATTAAGGAGACACAATAGTTCAATCAAGTGATGCACAAGTAGGGCGGATCCTTGTTAAGATAATTATTATAATCAACAGTGCAACACGTTCTAATATAAAAAAAAAAAATTGATTTAATTTTTTGAAGGAGAAATTTAAAATTGCTGGAAAGAATAAAAATTGGCTGAAAGTCAATATTTTAGAAGGACAAGACTCGTTAGATACGATTCTTATTATAGGTATGTTGGACGATTTCGGGGAGAAGTTTAAACACACCGTTTTTATTTTTACATGCAAAATTGCAATATAGATAGTATAGAATAAAAGAATTCATTATTATACAGGAATATAAGATTATAGGAACTATTTGCTAAAAAAATGTTTTAATGAAGTTTTAAGAATATGAGAAATTTTAAAATTTTGCGAAAGCAGTTGTCGCACATAATATACCTGATGAGTAAGTTAGATATGATCCCGATGACTCATCTGCAAGATTACAGTGTCACACCTTTATGCGCCATTATTAAATTAGTTCTTTATTAATGAATAAATTCTTAGGAGAATTTATAATTCTGATACTTACAATTAGACATAATACTTATTTGTTAAAATGTATTTTATGAGATACTATTTACTATACTAATTGAAAAAATAATTATGAAAATCTGATATTTACTTTGCGTATTTTTAATCGTGGTTTGTAATATTGGAAGGTCTCATCTTTATTTTTATTATATATATAATATATTTTAATATACACACAATTAGAATATTAATTATCCTTTTATACATATTTTAACATAAAGGTTTAAAATTTATTCGTAATAAATCACAATAGCAAAACAGCGCTAAACAGTTTGTTATTAAAAATCAACACTGTAACGGATTTTGGTTCGAAAAGAGGAAATAAAAGAATCGATACAGTAAAAGAAATCAAACATGAAATAATATTAGTAAAAGTAAATAAATTACCTAATATCTGATCCAATCTCCAAAAGTAAAAATAGACTGATATAAAATTAAAAAGATAATTGTAAAGTACTTTTTGCTATGATATACTGTGTAGAAATCGTTGCCATTTTTCATATTGTATCTATTTGAATCGACTTTTCTTACGTCGCATAATGTAAACACAACTTCGGACGAATAACTACTTTTTGGCGACGTAAGAAAATTCATGTAAATGTTGTCGAATTCGTTAATTAATGCCATCGCCCATAACATGAATCAAAGAAACTCTTCAGTTCAATCAAGAAAGAGGTTTTCAAAAAATTCCTTGATTCTGTCACATGACAGTAATTCCAAGTAGGTTATCTCATGCTGTTATGGTTATAACGACAAAATATGCATTTTTTTTAGCAATATATCATTCGTCAAGAAATAATGATATAATATTTTGCTAGATTAAAAACATTGCCTTCATCAACATGTATATCAGATTCTGCAACGGCGGATCTGACGGCAGATCTGTTGGAAGATAGCAAAATTATGCTTGGTTATGGAAAATCTTCTACTCATGTTAATAAAATGGTAGCTGCGTGAGATTTATGTTACAGATATAAAATGCCAAAATATATTATGTTAAGTTATATTAACATCTTCGGGTATCAGGTTTCCAATGCGAATCTTTCCGCGAGAAAATTGTGGAACAATTCGTCCAAGATGACCAGAAATTCCGTTGCTATAGATGACGTAATCGAAGAAGGTTTTGTACTTTGAAAGTATACTTTATAGAATATCTCTTTTATAATAATATACAAGAAATACTGGTTGGAAAGAAATTAACTAAAAGTTGACTAGAATATTTAAATACGTAATAAAATTAATATTTTTAAATAGAATTTTGCATTAAGCGTTTAGTTAGTTGTAGTTTTTGGCATTATATATCGTTATCGCATAATGCCATAATGTATTGATTTTAGAAAGTGAGCTCATTGGCATATTGACGAAACAACTGCATTTAGCTGAGTTACAAATGCGAAAAATGCAAACTGTTTTGACGAAAGCTGAGGAAGGCTTGCGATCTAAAGATCAGGAAATTGGACGCTTAAAGCGGAAGGTTCTCTGTACGCTTTTCTTATTCTAAGAGAATGTAGTATTATCATTATAAAATACGTATAATATTACCATTATATTCATCGTTAGCTTGGCAGAGTAAATGTTTAACCTGTGTATTTATATTGTATATGTTTATTAAATTTAGTTATAAAATAACATCGAATCCATTTCTTCGCGTATTCTATTCTTATATTTTTTTACATTGTTTGGAATTTCTGAACTATTTTTACAATTTTTTTATGATATATCAAATTATTTTGGTAGATTAAAGAATGGGAAACTAAATATAAAAGTCAGGAACTTTTGCGAAAGAAAGAGCAACGAAGTCAAGCTAAAAATTCCGAATATTTTTATCAACGATGTCTAACGTTAGAACATAAGATCAGCGAAATGGAGGTTTAAACTTTTATATTTCAACAATATGTTTGTTTTACATATTTAAACCATAAGTAGAAATTAGCTATTATATCGTTTTGCAGAAGTTCTTAGCTGATTATGGATTAATATGGGTGGGTGACGCTAAAAATACGACAAACATAGATGGTAGCAAGTAATTAAAATAAATATTTTATTATTAGCTGGAAATAAAAATAGCACATATAATAATTAGCAATAATTTCATTGTAGTAATTATATCAACACCTGTTATGAGCAGTTAATTGTGAATATCGATCAGTTGAACCTAGCTGCGGGAAAGGGTGAAGTTCACATTCATCATAATGAGAAAGGAGGAGGAGCGACATTCAAAGTAATGCTCTAGTTTCATAATACGTACTTTCATAGAATATACTGTAATGGTAGAATGTTACTTGCGAAACTAACATTTTTTAAATTACACAAACTTTTTTTATACACGTCACAAATATCAAAGATATTATTACTGATTAATTTAAAATTAATATATTTGCTAATTAGTAATTATTTATATCGTCAATCAGCATTTTTAATGCATTTTAACTAAAGACTCCTTCCTGCATGGTATTGAAGTTTTATAAAAATGGTATGTGCGTCAATGGAGGATTATTGCGATCTTATCATGATCCGACTGTAGTCTCGTTTATCCGTGATATTCTGGACGGATATTTTCCATCTGAATTGCAACAAGAATATCCTGACGGAGTGCCCTTTATGGTAAATTTAAAATAATAGGACAGAATTTTAGATTATATACGAAATATTCTAAACACTTTTTTAAAAATCTTTTTTTCTAAAATCACTGTGAGATTAATAAAAATTTGGTTAGTCTCTATTCTTTTTTTACGATTAATATTTTGACTTACGATTGTAGACAGAAGATCGCAGAACAGAATTGTATATAGATGATTCCGTTAGTTTTCCTGGTCAAGGATATCGTTTGGGAAAGCAATCTCCAGTAGATAACTTGTTATCGACAAATTTACGCAGATCAAATAGCATTTACCATAAATATGCTCGTACAAACCCTTTGCCGAAAGATAACACTTCCGAGAACATTCCGCTTTTATCACTTCCAAGCCGGTATATTGCCATTACTTATTTGAAATGCTTCAATATCTTCTATAAGTACTCGACTTATATAATATTGTAATATACACTCTTTCAAAAAAAAGTTACAAAGGTAGGTTTAGACCCATAAATAACTTTTGATAAAAAAAAATTCGTGTTAAAGTAAGCCTAATCTGTGCTAACTTTTTTATTTCAAAGAGTATATGTACAATATATGTATAATTTTTAGCAATTTATGTATAACAATTATAGTCAGCTTATAATTTCTTCATAATTATAAGTTAACTATAATTGTTATAAGTAAACTGATAAAAACTATAAGTCATCTTCATATGTTTAGTAGTTTATTGGATCCCAGAACCTCTTCAGAATCACCTTCTGTCGATATATTTTCTTTGAGATCGCAGATTTTGGCTTCGCATAATAATGTTTGTTCTAGTTCTCACATTCAGTCTCACGTTAACGCTGAATTAGCACGAAATAGTCAACGAGAAAAAGTAAATTTTATTATGTATTAAATTTTTCAAATATAATATCATAATATGAATAAATTTATTGTGTATACTAACTATCTTGGAAAAGAGAGAATTGGCTACAAAAAATATGGAATATGGTATGTCGATGAGTGAACAATCGTCCAAATCGAAAGATACCTTGAGATCTACAAGTAACAGCAGAACGAGACACCGTAGCTTTTCTGATAGACCGTCATCAAGGTTTTCTTAGATAAAATAATCCGTATTCATTACTAAAATTGTGTACTGAAATTAAATTTTCTCAGTAGGTCACAAATTGTTGATAGTCGCTTTCGATTACGTTCAAAATCTGCCAGTTCGTCCGCAGAGCGATTTGGTATAGCTATGCAATCGACATTACGGTCGAAAGCATTAAGCACAGCGGAAGTCAATAATATCGGTGAGTTCAAGATTGCCAATTTTGTCTCTGAGCGTTTCGCGACGAAATATCCTCGGGGTTCAAGATCGGCTACTTGTGCAAGAAAGAGTACGGTGAGAAATGTATTTAGATATCAACAAAAAAAGATGAGATAAATTATGTATAATAAAAAATAGATAAGTTTAATTATGAAAATCTACTTGAAAATCCATATTTGATGTTCTATTTTAGCCTCCGATATTACGTCAGGTTAATGAAGCGACTGGAAAATCTAACGAGTTGCGATTGAAAGTTAGATCATTAACTGGTAGTACTATATACTTGGTACATGTATTAGCTGACGAATCGGTGACGAAATTATACGAATTACTTGATAAGGCTATGCAAACATCCGGGCATAGAGGATATAAAGTAGTGTTGAGCGGGTGAGGAAATATCTGAATTTTTATAAACTATTTTTTAAATTAACAAAATATTTTACTTACACAAATTATTTAATCTTTTATTTTCATATTCTTTCATCTATAACTTTATAATTGATATTATCGCTTAAAGGTATTCGCCGAAGAGATTACAACGTATAAGTACATCCTTAAAAGAAAGCGGGATAAATAGAGATTGTGTTCTCCATCTTGTGAATGATTGAATTTGTTAGCTCGTGAAAGTAGATTTTATATTTCTATATATTGTGTAAAGACAAGTATGTGGAAACCGTAAAAATTTAGAATCTTTGATATATAAATTTGCAAATAAAACAAATGTATAGATAATTCATATACTGTATTCTATATTTTTGTACGTTATGTTATTATTAATAGGTAATTGTTAGTTATTATATTTAAATATTATACTTTTAATTAACTCTCAATAGATTTTTTTATCAATAATTTATTGATATAATGTTGAATCAATTACTTTAATGAGATAAATAATAGATAGTTATAGCTTTAAAAAAATTATAATAAATATTGAATGCTAGAACAAGGTTTATCTTAGTATGATATATAGGGGAGACCGGATAAAATAATCACTTTCGCACTACGAGATTCTTTAACAGTATATGTTTGGAAAGATAACAGAAGTGGATCACCGCCATCTAGATACATAGTATGGGCAACTAAATAACAATTATATGATACCAATTGCACTAACCTAAACATTCTGGATTTTCCTAAACAGTCAATGACCCATGGTATCCCATGACCCATGGAACCTTGGTCTCCCCTATTCTAATATTGATTATTTGCTAGGATATATACTTCTTAGTTAACTTCCATATAAAGTGTACTTATAGGGAGCAGAATAGATCTTCGTAATAGTTAAACCTTAGACCATTATTCCGTAACTTAGGTTCGTAATTACACAGTAGATTGGTTTACGTCATTAACGATTTTGTTACCAGTTACCACGACACATATAAAGATTTAAAATTTTAAAAACTAAAGTGTAATTAATATTTTCTTTAAAAAAACTCTCTTTTTCTCATTATTAATGATAATTATTTTAAATTTTATTCTGTGGTATTATAGAATATATTATCAAACTTGCATTTAATATTTTGATATTAAATTAATTTTAAATTTATTAATTTATAAATAAAAATTAAATATATTATTTAAATAAATTTATTTCTAAATAAAATAAAGATGTTGTAGAATTAAGTTTTAAAAATGATTGTAATTTTATGATCAGTATAATATATTATTTTTAAGTTTGAATCAAACATATATCTGTAATATAAATCTTTTAAAAGCAATATTTTATACGCAAAACCGGTTTTTTCTTATTTTGTTGCTTCTTTACTAAATTATTGACAACTACAGTTTAATAAAAAGCAGTCAAAAATAATGAATGAAAATATAATATATTTTTATCAACAGTTTCTGTTGGCATATACAAAGATTTTCTTGCTTTTACTAATATCAGATTCATTCGATGCACTCGTATATACATTTAGATGTACGTATACATTAACAAAACACATTAGATATACAATGGATTAAGTAACATAATACGTATAAATGCGTACATTGCGTACGTCGGTATCAGGAAAATTATGGAATTTCCTATCATCACCAACGCAAATCACGCCGTGATAACTCCGAGCTCTATCAATCAACGGGATAGAACTCGCGTAGAATTAACTATGGGCTTCCGCCAACGGATGTGTCAGCGGATGCTTTTCGATCAGATATCGCGGTGGAACGGTTAATAAGAGGTCCTGTTTGTCAGTCGATATCCAAACTAGATGACAGTCCCCCGGGAAATTCCTGCCGTATTTTGCTCGTAAATTTCATGAGCACTAAGCGAACCGGGCTTCATTTAAGGCATAATTATCGAAAATCAAGTAACGCAATCAACTCGATCAATCATGAAATAGGAAATTATATTGTATTAGAGAAATCTTACTTCTGTGTATCAAATTTTGTATATTATTTTCTTATTAAAAACTAAGTAAAGTATGTATAATATTATAGTAATATCTCTATCAAATTAGCAGGACCAAAATGAAAAAAGATTTATTGACTATTATTTAGTGCTCATTTCGTGCTAATTTGTGCTATGATCCTATATAATAATATTGTACGGTATGCCATTTAGAAAAAAAATTTGTGGTACTGCTAGTTTAAAATTAAGATAACAGATTCACACATGAGATAAAAAGAGAAAAAAATTATAAATATAATTTGTGTTGATTTATACTATAAAATAACTTTGTACCACACGTTATATACACTATTCAACAAAAAATAGGGAACACTTTTGAACACGCTAAAAATTAGGCAATATTTAGAACGCCATAACTCGATAAAAAATCATTGCAGACAAAAAATTAAAAAAGTATTTTAAAAGTTGAAATCTCTGCTTATAAAGTCTGTAATTGAAACTTCAATATGATTGATCCTTTATGGAGTTCCACAAATGGATATCCGTCAAATCTGAAAATTATGCACAAAGGTCTATGGCACGAGATGAAAAATTCACTTATTTCAGCTCTTACTGCTGTCACTTGAGGTTATAATTTACTTATTGTAAAAATTCTGTAGATCGTACATACCAAATGGGACCCTCGTGTCAAGCGTATGACGTGCACAAATAATCCTAAGCTTGCGAAATTGTCATCTAAGTTCTAACAAAAAAGATGTTCCAAAATATTTGTTCCACGTGTAATCGTTTCGCTGGCACAGATAAACGATGGTAAACAGCACGAGAATTGTATATCAAGTATATTACAGTATGTATTGCGGTAGATAGCGTAGGAACTTGAGAGAGAAAAATAACAGGCGAAAAAGAGATAGACATAAGTTCTGTTTTTTTTCTCTTTTAAGTTGAGCGCGCAGCACTGTCTGACATAGATTTTTCAGTAGGATCACCTGTATTATCGATCTCGATCAAGTTCGGCCGTCGCTTTAGGATCTCCTTAAAATGTTTTTTTAATTTTTTGTCTGCGATGATTCTTCATCGAGTTACAGTGTTCTGAATATTGTTCAATTTTTAGCGTGTTTGAAAGCTTTCCCTATTTTTTTGTTGAGTATAACATAAGAAATCCGTGGTTTTGAAAAAGAGAGGCGAAATTTTCACATGGATTTACAACTTTCTATGTAAAGCGAGGTTTCACGTGAGTTTTTACAACTTTTTCATCAAACGAAGCAAAGTTTCTCTTTCATATGCGTTTACAACTTTAATATCAGGTTAACAAAACCTCGAATTTCTTTTAAATGGCACATGGTAGAATATTGTTTTGTAACACAATTTAGCACGAAATAATTATTAAATAATTCAATTGATTTTTTCAATTGTGTTTATTTGATTTTACTAGCTTAACAGAATTAATGATATACATGCAATAATGATGTAGGTATGTTTTTATTTTAAAACACTTGTTTTTCTATATATATGGTACCAAATAAAGTTATATTATATATATATATAAGTATAAATAAAGTGATAGTATAGTTAAATTATACGTGAAGAGGAATTTATATTGATAAACAATTGTTGTTAACTATTCGTAATATTTTAAAAGCGTAATAGGCATGAGTGTTATTGTATAATTTCATATTTCCGATTAACTTTGTCATCAGTAATTTACATCGTTTTGTCTCAATTTGATATTGCTTTAATAAATCCCTTTTTTTTGCTTGTTTTTTTTTTGCTAACATGTGATTTGTTAACAAACCGATTAAACGATTAAAGAGAAGTAATTGTGTTAAGACAAAGAAAAGTGAGGATGACATCTACTTTAAAACATCGAGGACATTAATGGATCTCTCCATTGGTTTTAGTTGTCTTAAGAGACAAAAAATAAAAACAGAAAGAAGAGGAAAAAGTCAATGAAATAAAAGAATCATTTGTTCTAGAATCTCGTTAAGCAATATTGAAAATTTTTCTCTCGTCTATGAATCTCGCTTGCGTCGTTCTCGATCAATAAATTTGTCTAATATTTTGTAACTTTAATGCCGAGAATTAAAGCTGTAATTTAGATGACAATCAAATATCACTGTAATTATATTACATAGAGTACAAATATAATAATTAAAAGAAAATCAAATTTTATTAGGAAAATTAGGAAAATGTTAGGCAATAAAAATATTAATACATTTACTGAACATTTTAAAAAATTTACTTTTATTCATTAAATGTGTCTCCATGAAGTACATTTTCGCCGTGAGAAATATTTCGAGAAGTCGACTATAAAATCCCGTGTACGTGTTAATGGTTAGCTGCTCCGGAAAGTTATTAAAGTTTCACTCCAGGGATGATTGCGTTCCATGTATCTTCCCCTCATTTTTTCACTAGTCTCAAATGTCGGGGAATGACCTGAATTTTAGTGTACTCTCTCTTTGAAGCGATATGACTAAACGAATGCAATTTTCAATATGGCGCAGCTATAACGTCATTTTGCTCTAGTCTTTTTCTAACAATTTAACGCACGAAATGCATGTAATGGAGATGCAGAATTAAAGATATAATATTTCTGAAATTTATTTATAACAATATTTTTGTTGCATTAACAATATATGTTACAATTTTGAAAAATGATTGCAAATATATGATAATAACAGATTAATATAGGGCTTCATAAATTTTCTAATAAGGTAGTAGAATCCATTAATTATTATAAATAATGACTTTGAATAACGATATTATCAATTATTATTATTAATGATACTAATATTGTAGTAAACGATAAATAATGATGATAATTATCAATTTTTTATTCAATAGGTTCGGTAATGGTTAGATTCTTTGTTAAAATTCAATATTTATCTCACAAAATAACTCAAAACAATTGAAATTAAAATTAAAACTTTTGTAACATATAACTATGAACGAGTGAATCTTTTTGAGTGAAATGCTACAGCTTATTCTATTTGTGATTTCTGTTCGATTTGTTGTTTTGTTGCATAAATTGAATCTTTGACTTGATTAGAGAATTTGAGAGATGTACAGTCGTTCAGTCGTGCGTATTTCACCGATTGCTTTATCTGCTTTGTTCTACGGATATCGGATTAGATACGATTACGGATTTGCAATGTAATAATTTCCTCGAACTCCATTGAATATAGTCGGACTGTTCCGTGGATCGTTAAGAACCATTGGATACGCTATCTGGGTCGCCTCAATCGTAGATTTGTCGAAAATTGTAAATCTGATTAGCATAAACTTTGTAGCAATAGTGATAAATAATTGATGAAAAATAGGAATATTCTCTGAAATATTTTATTCAAGTGTTATATACTTGTGATTGACAAAACATTGTGTATCGACTTTTCGTTTTGTCCGTGAAATGCTGTGCTGATAGAATCACTTGAAGTACAACTGTAGAATAATGACTATACTTGCATAAACGTTTGGCAAATATTCTTCCGATAGATTGATAGCTACATTTACTGTTTATAAAATAACTGCATAAAGAGACAGTCAAAAGCTGTCACATTGTGTGATAGCGAAATAAATTGGATTGTGTAAATAAAAGAGTTTATGAAAACAGTAGAAATAAAACATGTCCTGTTGAAAAATATATCGAAAAAAAGGGAAAAAAATGAAAGGCATAGAACATATTAGCTTTGTAGTTTTCAGTTTGTAATCTTTCAATGCTGTCATGACAAAATTTTTTTTTCCAAAAAATCATGCTTTTATAAATATATAAAATAATATTTAAGACTACACAAGATTTCAAATTTGTTTTTCTTCGGTGTCAAAACGTTGTTAATTTTGCATCCTGTTTATGATTAATGTTTCGATACTGAACTTTTTTTATCAAAAAAAATTTGTCTTCAGCGTTAACCACGGAAATTTTACATTATTATAAATAATAGCATTGAGATAAGAAATACGTTTTATGTTCATAATTTTATATACAGATTTAAATTTTTACGATCGTCGACAAAATTTATTTCCTATATTATTAAAAACTGTACAATCAGTATTCAAATTTTTTATATTTCGATGTAGAGAAAGTACCCAATTGTTCTCGCTGTGATGATAAACATTCATAAACATCCTTTTTATAACTAGACTTTGATTATTAATGCACCGATAATGCACCGATAAATCGGTTGACTGCGTTCAGCAGAAAAGTTTATTGTAAAATTCTTCAATATAATTTGTCTTGCTCTTGGTTCCTCACTGGATCTGAACGTATAAACTAATCATATTGAAAAATTTTACAACAGTTACAAAGTTGTTTTCTCTGTTGAACGCAGCCATTGCCAGCTTCTAGTTTGAGCAATTTTTTAGATATTTAGATCATTCTTTTGTTTTTTTCGTTTTTATGCAACAAAAAAATAAAGCTTAGTTTTGTGAAAAAATGTAATAACCGTAGATATATCATAACAATAGTCAACTATTTTTGGAAGTTTCAGAAAGTTCTCACAAAGGTGAGAATATACATAGAAATATTTCTCATGCAAGAATGGAAGAAGTAGTGTGTCGCGATGCTCTTGTTGCACACATTTTTGATATAGATTTACTCCACTGAAAATTTATATATTATTCACACATATATACATAAACAACCGTTTGCTAATAAATTTCATGATGAATATTATTAACGGTCTCAATGATTTTGACTTTGCTCTTTAACTGTATGTTATGTGCAATGTGTATTGTGACTGTATAAACGTAATGGAATTGAGAGACTATGTATCGCAAATTCTTTATTGTAAATGGCAGTATGTTTTTTACCTCTTCTTTTTTTATTTTCCTCGTAACGTACACACTTGCAGAATTGTTCTCATTCTTTCTTTTTCAACGATTAGTAACATATCAATAAATTCACTGAACGATGTATTTTCTTCAACAAATAGCGGTATACACGCATGTAATAATATGTTCACAATACGAAACATTGCAATGTATAGCTAAAAATTGTTAAACAGTTAATTGGATTACCTATTTCACATTTTTTTTTCTCATGAAAAACACTCGCTGCGCACGCGCTAGTATAATAATAAACTATTCGATTGTGTCAAAATATGACTAGTCTTTTGTTGTATTTGCACGGATTTCTTGCTTATCGCACACGCGCGTTATACGTATGTATATATGTACACACACACGTCGACGCATACATACATATACAGATTTATACATACATTAAGTGTATTTATAAATTACACATATACTTATATAAAAGATTTAGAAATCTTTTCTCAACAATTAGCGGACTATCTTATTTATAATACAGTAAAGAATTAAGGATTTGATGCCAGTGATCGTATTTTTTTACCTATCATTTGAAGTATCTTGCGACTCAATTTTTGATTGATTTTTCAAATTTTTTAGAACTGCTAATATTTTTTTAAAGATTAATTTTACATTAATACATACTTATTTAATACTTTCCGTGTAATGAAAGAAATTTTCTATACCATATTATATCTCAAACGCAGATTAATTATTATTAAACGTAGATTAATTATTATTAAAGATTTATATATTATATTTGCTGGACTTTGTAACATAAAATTAAAGGTCGATATTCATCATTGATAATTATTTGATAAATGATTATTAATAGACAATCATTTACAGATCATGAATTGTAAATAATAGCAAATTTTCTAATATTCAGATTCACATAAAACAGATCTTTTTGAAATATTAATTCAAATAATTGAATAACAACCTGTAAATATGAATCTATAATTAATTACGTTTTCAATCAAATATTGAAAATTATTTACAAATTATTGACTCCGCGGTTTAAGTATTCTTATTCTTCTAATTAAATATAAATAAATTCTGAGATTTAAACGATATTACCTAAAATAAATTTTTTATTAATTTTGAATCTTGTATTTCTTCTTAATTACACTTTATTATAAATTTAGACATAACATTTAAATTATTAACAGATAATTCTGTAAATTTTTTGTAACAACAAAATAAGCAGTTCTTGTATATATATATATATATAGTTCTTGTAATTCGATTTTTGTACCTGCACGTTTTTATTCGAAATTATTGGACGCATGAAATTTGTTTAGGCTAAATCCGGCAGTGATTACTAATTTGGTCCGAATTAATACGATACAGTTATTCACGTTTTATTGCTCTGCGTTTTTCGCGCGTTTGTCGTAAGTTATAATCAGTTATATGGAATTTTTTTTTCAATTTAGCCGTTTATAGCGTACGATCATTTATTTGTCTATTGGTTCCTTTTGTCTTGTATTTTTGAATGAGATTATGAAAGGTATAATAATACTTGGGAATATTATGGTTGTTGCAAAATTGCGGTCCGAAATTATTGTCACTGGAAACTGCATTCCAATAGACATTGGCATCAAGTTAACATGCAACTATGTCAGCGACCTTGCCATTGACGCTTGCATTCACACATAGAATTGTGTAAAATCGCAATGAATCATGACTGTATTTTGTATTTTCGTACATTAATTACATGTCATTGCCGACAAGTCGAAAGATAATGAGAGATCGCGAATATTTATTTAAATATTTTGCAATAGATAATCTGATGTTCCATGATTTATTGGTTTCCGCGAGTAAATTTTAGTCTACGAATCGCGACATGGATGGAATACAATTCTATATGTGAAAACCAGTTGATTTAATAAGCTTTATCGATTTTCTAAATCCGCTTCGATATGTTTAACTTGAAATTCGGCTATAATATCAGCTCGTGTTCCGTGGTGATGTCGCGGACGGTTTCTGGTCTGTCCGGGGTCAGATACTTTGAATAATATCCGGTTTTCCACTCGATTTTACCGTTGCCTCGGGGAATTTCGAAACACCGGCAATTCCTGGTCAACTGGCATTGCGCGTGGTATTTCATTTTCCATGCAGTTCCCATTATTCCGATTGATCCGTGACATTCACGCACTGGCACTTTTAAATTTGATACCGGCTTCAATTTGTTGGTCAGATATACCTATGAACAGTAAGATGCATGATGAATACGCATTGTTTGCGAATAGCATTCGGTTGTCTTCATAGACTGGCGAATCTGATAGTTCCTGGGATCCACTTATTAGTTGATGCTGCCTAGACAAACAGTTACACGCGAGCAACTCGGTAGTTTCCATCCATTATCTCGATTAGATACACATCCTTGTATGAACATCAGTCATCCCCCAATACCTTTAGTATCGGGGCATACACGCAGGATCATATGTGGCACCGTTTAATCTTGATTTTGCTTAATCTTCAAGTTATCGAGCTAGTTGTATCACACGCCTATTTATCATTGTCCCATTGAAACAATACGAGAATGCATTATCAAAGCATTTAGAACGTATCTCGCATGAAACACTAATTCTAATCATTCTCGTTCAATTGACCTCAGTCTCAGTTTCCTCATTGCATGCCCTCGATCGATGATTTACCGTCGTCGTCGGCGCGGGATGGCCCTCGTTGCGGTTTACCAACTCGCCCCGGCGACTATATGTGCTATAAGCACGTCTCTTTCTGATCTATGACGTTGATGACCACGGAGGCCTGAGTGGGTAGTTCCTTTTGTACAGGTACACCTGTCGGTACCTCTTCGAGTATTGGTCAAAGGGTCGTGGTCCTCGAGACTGTTGCCGAGGGTGGCGGTGGCGGTGGGGGCGGCGGGGAAATTACTACGTCCGGTTCACCCGCTAGGTCGCAGTCGAATCTCCAGAGAATATTCTCAGGGTGGTCACCTCCTAATACAGTACAATAATTGATAATGCAGTGGTGTTATAATTTGAATAAAGAGTATAAATATTGATATTCTATGTAAATATGTTTTTTATATATAATTCTAATTTTTTAATTTTTGGCTTTATGAAATATTTTATCGTCGTATTTAAATAAATCTTTAAAATATATTACTCTCAACAAAAAATAAGGTACACTTTCGAACACGTTAAAAGTAAAAGGGTAATAATCCGGAACCCCGTAACTCGGTGAAAAATCATCGCAGACAAAAATATTAAAAAAAGCATTTTAAAGGTTGAAATCTCTATTTTTAAAATCGGTAATTGTTATATTAATCCGATTGATCCTTTACAGTTATACGAATACAAATGGATATCCGTCAATCTGAAAATTTTGCAAACTTTATAAAGGTCTATGGTGTGAGATAAAAATTAAAAGTGATCACTTGCTTCAACGTTCAATAACTCGGTGAAAAAAAATTGTACAATATTCACTATGAAAGAATTAAAGATAAAGAATCATTCTTTCGATTGCTGTAAACCGCATTTTCGTGTAATTTTTCCTCATAAACTTTTGTAAAGTTCCTGCAAAATTTTTAGATTTTACGAATATCTATTTATGGAATTTTGTAAAGGATCAGTTATATATATTGAAATTTCAATCAAGATTTAAGTAGAAACTTCAATCTTTAAAATGCTTTTTTAATTTTTTGTCTGTGATGATTTTTTACCGAGTGACGGTGTTTTGAATATTGCCCAATTTTTAGAGTTTGAAAGTGTTCCTTATTTTTATTGAGTAGTATATATTTTAAAGTTAATATATGAATATATTATTTTATGCCTTTTAGGACACGTTTATAATTAGTATCTATATTTATACAAATTTATTATTACTAATAAATAATAATAATAATAATAATAATGAAGGAAGATGATATTTAGGATATAATGCAAAAAAGTATAAATGTTTTATAATAATTTCGTTTTGTAACACACACAAAGTGGCATTATTTTTTTCCACGTTTAATATTTTTAGGCAAACTGTGATTTTGTTAACATTCTTTTAATTTTGCTATTTTGTAACTATAACATACGATATTGCAAAGTAATCTACATAGAAAGAAAACTTTTGTTGAAGTATCTAAAAATTTATCTATATAGATACATATTTAAAAATAATTTTGTTTGAATCATTAAAATATGTAGAAATTTCAAACATGATAAGCATTGAAAAAATTTTGATATTCTATTATATATAGCTATCTAGCTAAATCTAATAATTTTCTTGAGTGTCTTACACAATTATTTTAATGGTCCAACAAAATGTTCAGATCTGTATCCAAGTAAATTTTTAGATAGTTCAAAATTTACTTGGATACAGAGTCCTTTCCGTGATATGCGAACGTAACCGTAATGATCAATATATCACTTGACCTAGCGAACATAATAGGACGGGACAATCTCGTGGCAGATAGATGGTTGTACCTTGACCCAAGATGATGCCCGAAGAACCCCGTCTCTGTCTCGGTGGAGGTGCTTGGTGTTTGTGCGAGTGGTGGCTGTGAAGATGTGAATGTGAGTGGCAGTGCGTGTGACGCGTGTGCGTGGGGGTGACTTTGCACGGTGGCGGTTGTTGTTGTTGCGATTGCTGCTGCTGTTGTTGCTGCTGTTGAAGACGAAGATGAGGACGAAGCCTGTGCTAGGTGTTCCCGCCATGGGACATTTGATCGAAGCTCAATGATTTCTTCATCTCCGTCATCGACGACGCACCACCCTCCTGCTGAGAGATAAATAAGCGCAAGTGTTAGCTATATCAGGCTGGCTAGCAGAGAACAGAGTTTTACGGTGAGACAAGTGGACAGACGAGTTATTAAAAGTTGTAAGAAGTTGTTAAAAGTTTTTAAAGATAGGAAGGTTATCACTGGGCTTCCGTGCGCCAATGTTGATAACTATGTCTTTAGAGTTGTGTTTGAAACGACCAGCACGTGCTTCGCGAATCGATCCTTTTTTTTTACGGGAATTCCGAGATATGGTAGTGCCGATATGGCTTTCGGATCACGTTTTCAGAATGGAACGAGGCGTGCACAATATACACGTAGATATATTGCTGGTTAAAAGACTGCTATATGAAGACGAAACTTGCGGTTAATAAAACGAATTTCTCTGGGAATAGTTTAGATTCTCTAGGCAAATTGATCTTACATAAATAATTAAAAATTATTAACTAGTATGCGCTAACACAATTCAATACAGAAGGACTCTAATAATAATGCAAACAAGATATAGTTAATATTATGTCAAATACGTTTTAATTTGACATTTTATTTGATATTAGTTGTAATAGTTTTTCCTCGTGCTTGTATAAAACATTATATACGAGTAAGTATAGATGTTAAATACGTCATGTATAAATTTTGTTTAGATCAGCTATAATTTAACATTGTACTTATAAATCAGTGCAAGAATCATGGTGTGATAAATGATAATGTGACAGATAATGAACAGAGAGTACTCGAATGGTGTAGACAGAATAATGCGGTCAATGTGGTTTATTGAAATTCAGAATGCGCGGAATTCACTGGAATACAATTGCATTTTCTCAACAATACGGATGTCCCTATTTATAGCGTGCATTACTTATTGACAAATGGTATATTGTCATTGAGTTAATTGCTGTTGGGTATAGTATAGAACTACATGTTACGATACAATACGTTTTGAATCGCGAATACTTTATTCTTAATGATTCTCGAAAAATAATTACAAATATGATATACAGGGCCTGATATGATATATAGATGGCCTACGTAAAGTGTTACAAGCTAATAACTCTAAAAATATTTGTCGTATCAAAAAGTTGTTCATGAGAAAGTTTCATATATTCGAGGGGCCTTTCTAACTACGTAAACAAAAACTCATTTACGTCCCCTCTTGAAGAGGGACGGGAGATAACATCAAAGTTTCAAATGGGACCCCTTGTAAAATGTTACGTATTTAGATTCGACGGGGAAAAACAAGTAAACTTTGTCTGAAACATTTTTTTGGAAAATGCTTCTATCAAAAGTTATGAACATTTAAACTTATAGCCATTTTATTCACGATTGAACTCCATTGACACAAAGTTGTGTTCCCGATACAATGAAAACGAAATCGACCTTGATGTTAACCAAAGGAAACCTAAATACATACGTTTATCGGGAAACGTAAATACAGATCTACTATGTATTTAGTTAGTTTTGAATGTAGTACTCTTCTAAATGAGATATTTCGTGACAGATGGATAGATCGAGGAGGTACTGTTCAATGGCCCCCTTGTTCACCTGATATTACACCTTTGGATTATTTTTTATGGGGGTATATCAAAGAGGAAGTGTCACATCTCAACCATTTACGACAAAAGAAGACTTAAAACGAAGAATACATACTACTTACACTAAAGTAACTACAGAAATGTTGTTTAGAGTGAGGCTAAGTTTTGTAAAAAGAATTAGTAAGTGTTTAGATGTTAATGATCAAACAGTTCGAATATTTAATAAAATGAAAAAAAATAGAAAAATTATGAGCCTTATTTATCATTAATTTCAATGCACTATACATTAAAGTTTAAATATTCAAAACTTTTAATAGGAGCATTTTCCAAAGAAATGTTTCATCAGACAAAGTTTACTTGTTTTTCTCCGTAGAATTCAAATATGTAACATTTTACAGAGGGTCCCATTTTGAAACTTTGAGTTACTCCCCGTCCCTCTTCAAGGAGGACAGGGGTGGATTTTTGTTGATGTAGCTAGAAAGGCCCCTCGAATATATGAAACTTTCTTAAACAATGTTTTGATAGAACAAATATTTTTAGATTTATTAGCTTGTAACACTTTACGTGGGCCACCCTGAATATATAATAGATATGTACATATATCATAGTATATATATATATATATATATATAATTCACATTGAATTATTTAAGTATCAAAGATCCAGATTCGATCGTTTGTGTTCTCACATGTACGGTCTAATAAAATTCTTATTTTTCTTATTGTTTATAGATTCTCGTTTATGTAGGTGAAATTGTGCATCACGTACCGAATAACTTTTTTGTTTTAAAGTAATCATTTCTTTATCTTGAAAAGAATGAGTGCTGACAATGATTGAAGAGTTTGAATGGTTATAAGGTCAATTCTAGCAGTCTATCACTTTACATTACCGTAGCAGTATTTGGCAGGTGGCATTTCAAAAAGATACATCATGTATTAATTCAGGAGAACTAGAATTAGAAGTAACAGTTATACTTGTCTTTGAACGGATTATTCAGTTTTGATGCAATTTAAATGAGTTTTTAATTCTACCACAGTGCGATTGTAATTAATTTTAAAGCGGGTGAAAAGGTCTGCGTGATGAAAAAGACATGATATTAAAATGGAAAGAAGTAAAACGAGAGAATAACATGTTGTCGCTTTTATCACGTGGAAATTCTTTCAACAGCGTCAGTGATTCATAAAGTGTGAATGCTAATGAAAAGTGTTAATCCGTGTCATCTAAACATCATACGAAGCGAATTGCGTTTAGTCCTTAGAATATACGTATGATTCTTTTAAAATTTTCTATAAATTAATGATTTTTCTTTTAATTTAAAAATATTTTACAAATTAGAAGAAGAGATATCTCTGTGTAAAATAATGATTTTTGTTCAAATCATCATGCAACAAAAATATTAGTAGGTATTACAATTTATCAGATTTATTTATTTTCGATTTTTATTTATAATTCTGCAATTACATATAAAATAAAAATAATTTTCTTAATTTTTTAAAATCTAACGATATTATAATTTCAAGTTTTTCTTTCGATTTTATAGTTTGATATAGCACATAAAAAAAGGTAATAGTTAAAAGAGTAAGTTTGAAGAAATTACTTCCGTGTTACAAACTTTTTTTTGCAAAATTTCGCTTGTTCATTGATATATAGATAATAAAGTATTTTATTTTTTGAACATTTTAAAGAATTTATTTCTTTTCTAAGGCTAACATTTATGTATAGAGTACTCTCGTATGTGTTTTTGTATGAAATATTTCTGATAGGTTTGCATTGAAAGATAGCTCTCTATAAAAATGTAACCTATATACGTTCCTCTCGAGTTTTCAAGAACATGATCAGCTTACGTCGCTCGACGAAAAGATAAATATTCGATATTGATTTTACTCATCATGTAATATTTGCATCATGAGACTAAACCATTCTCTATAGAAATTTCATTAAATTGCGCTCGAAGGTATAATGCGCAATAAAGCGCACACTGTTGTTGCAAGTTTATGCATGCAATTATGTCTAACGTACAATACTGCAATTGTAAGCGTGTATGACATAATCCTGCATTGCAGGCAGTTCATTAACTGCGAAACATAAAACGTGCGAAAACGAAAATTATATTTTATAATGAAATACACGTTTCATAAATGTGCACTCGCGCCGTGAAGAAACCAATCTAAAATCAATACAACGGCTATCGTAAAAAAAATATACATCGTCACAACACTTTACAGATATACGTGGATGCACAATAAATTCGTGCGAAATTCGCGTGGGAGGCAACTGGCTGTTATAATACTTCCTTGTCAAATGATGTGCGGAATCTTTCTCGAATATCCATTATTTCTCTGAATTCGAGTTTCTATAGTATAGAAACGCGAGATATATCTAGAAAAAGAGGGGCTTTTTTGGAAACTGTACTCTCAGCACGGTAATACGAATCGTGAATCTTCGGCCGATAGTACATGCATATTGACTTTCAAGAATACTTTCTCGCTAACACAAAGAGAAAAATCCAGAATCCGCGTAATTGGCTCTGTTCGACGAGATTGAATTACCGTGGAATGAGCACCGCTCCGCGCGACCAACAATCGGCTCTCCTCGGAAAGCTTCCGAGTAATCTGTTGCCGCGTTTTTATCTCCCCTGATTGTTTCGCCACTTTTTTACGCGAGTATGTACGCCAATAACAATTTTTTTTTAAGTCCGTTGCAAGTGTCTGAGCAGAATTCATAATTGCGCGATGTAAATTGTTTAATTGTCGTCGTTATTATCTTGAAATTTAATTAAAGATGGGAAAATATCGAATATGCAGTTTGCAAATTATTGTAGTATCCTCGAAGATGCCGATTAGAAAATTTGATCGCGTGCCCGTCATGTGGGACAAGACTTACACCATTTAATCGCGGGATCTCGATGCTCGGTATGTAGGTCGTCTCCTCGTGTTCGGAGGAGCAGAGATGCGTTCTTCTCCTAGAAGAGCGCGGGCTGCAACGGCCGCACAGTCCGGCGGCCGCGGAATTGCGCGATTTCGCAGCGGGTCTCTGCCGGGAGCCGCAGCGGACGGCAAATCGCAATTCCGAGGCCATCTCGGCGCAGAGAGACTGTCGAGCGGTTAAATGATGGTCGATGCGTAGTAGGTGCACGTGCGTGTTTACCGTCCAAGAAGTAATCGTTGGCGATGCAGCAGGTGCCGGTACAACAGGTACAACATATACACCAAGAGACAATACACGAAACGATCATACGAGACCTGAACGCATGCAAGACTGATTTCTCCGTCGTGTGAGGCCGTCTGTTCATCAAGACGTTCTTTCGAATAAATGCTTGCCACGGATATCGCATTAACATCCAGTCTACATACATTCAATTTTTAAATTAAATACACGTTAAGATCACCGAAAATGAGAGAAGGCAGATACTTGATTTAAATATACGAGAGAACTAGAAAGATTCGAGATTAACTTTACAGCTATAAATTAGATTCCTTATTTGATTATTTTTCGTTATGCTATTGTAGTTTTTTCATTCAACTCTAGTTAATTTTACTCACATTTTATACGCATTCTGCCTCTTATCGCTCAGTGTAAAACAATACGATAATAACACAATGCGTCAAGGATACTGAGAAAACATGTATTAAATTTTAATAAATATTTGTAGTATTATATAAATATATAGATCAGCATATATTTATTTGGTCCATTATCATTAATTTAATTTAACTATATATATAATTTTTTATTTAGTAAATATTTATTTACCGTAAATAAATATTAAATTAGTATTAATACTATTCAAACAAACATTAATTAAAATTTAGCACATTTTTTCTCAGTGTGTACAAAATAATAAAGTTGAGAACATCATCAGAAGAGTGACAGAATTTTGAATTAAGATTCAAACGACCTCGCTCATCCATGAGAAAGTACAACTCATGCAACACGTTCACATAAAATCCTATACCGCCGTCTCGTTTAGCTTACCCTGTCCGATTGAGCATTCTTTTTAGAGTTCCAACAGAACTCGAGGATTGCCACCAGGATCGCTAGCGCCAGGCCGCAGAGTAGTACAACGAAGACACCGCCTGAAATGACAAAACCGAAAGCTCATTATTTTAATGTCGGCGGAGCCGGGCGTTTTTCTCTAATTTCACCGTAAACAAGACGCCGCGCCGTTGGCAGCCACGAAGTACGATGGGGCGTGTTTGTAACCCGTCTCGAACTTTCTTCGTGACTTCTTCATCCTTTCCCCTCCTCTACCACCACCCTTTGTAGCACTGCTTTGGTCGAGGAGCAAAGAAAAGAAGTACGGCGAAAGAAAAGGGGCACGCAGCGTCGGCCGCGGGAAAATCGTGCGCGCAATATCTAAGCGGAGCGTGGACTTTCAAATCGATCGCATTATACTTTTTGGTCTGTTTCATGGGGAAACTTCGCGATGGAGTATTCGCGGGTAACGACCGTGAGTAGGGCGTGCGTGGAAACGTATATACTGATAAATGGCGAGGTGCTTGTATTTATTGCGATGCAAGAGTCGTGCGAAAACAGTGAACTCTGGAGAGATATTTACGCTTGGTACGAAGTTTAGCTCACCCCCCGATAAAAACGAAAGGATAGGAAGTATGCGAAAGTTCAAGAGAGCGTTACATTTGGAATTAATGGCTGTTTCCACAATGATTCGTGAGATTATTCGTGAAACCGGAACTTTCTTGAACACGAGGCGTGAATTGATATATGCTAGTTGCTTATGAGTTGCTCTACATTTCACTTTCCTTTTATTTCTTCAAGTAAAATTTGATATTCCGTGTAATTACCAATTAGAATAATAATGGAAACAATTTTCTAAGAGTTTAAAAATTGTTCTATATTTATTCCGTATTTTGTTTCGGAGCTAAGAAATTTAACGAGTAAATAACGGGATTTAAAATTTGCGGTTGGCTGTATAAAATTCGAGCAAACTGTTTCGGTAAACACTTCAACTTTTTCGCCAATATTTCTCCGTACGTGTTCAAAGATGAGTTTCCACTTTATTGGTCGAAAATACGGTGCACGCGCGGAGTCCGTTTCCATGCAGTCAGCAAATTTACCTTTCGTGAACTTCTCAATTTCTCGAGCTGAGCCATTAGCGATTGATCACTGCCTGCAGTTATATACTGTATAACTTTTACTAAAAATCATCCTTTTATTACGTACATTTAAAAATCTAATAGGATATCAATTATATAGACTATTTCTGTTGTACGTATAAAACATCCAATTATCCTAATTTAGATAAAATAATATAATTAAGTTTAGTAGCGATAAGATAGAGAAAAATTGTGGAATATATATGCATTCACTTATGCTAACATTTTTGTGAAACTTTTGGCTATATATTTCAAGTCGAAAGAATGGAGAACAAAGTATGGAGGCGCTTTTGAACAGGCTAAAAAGTGTCCACTTATCGTTGACGGCAAGACAACTGAGCCGGGATCTCGGGGGGGATGCAAAGTAGATTTGCATAACTACACCGCCGTGATTTATGATGACAGTCCGGACGTTTCGCCGGAAGGACGAAAGTTTCTCGCGCGCGGGCGGGCGCCTGGATATCACCGGTGTTTCGCGCCTATTTCGCGAAACGATATCAGAAGCCTGGGCCCGGTGAGAGGTCGTGCTACATTGTACGCCTACAGGCTGATCCAAGTTTCGCGGCGGGAAGTTCTGTTCACTGAGTTACAGGATATATGCCTAAGTTTTCCGTAAGAGAAGACGGCGCGGCGGCGGACTCTTGCCAAAATACTTGGGCACGAACCGGGAATTATCCGGAGCTCATCGTTCTCCGAGAGATTCTCACGCTAATTCGGAAACTCGCGGAGTTAGCGATATTCTAAGGCAAATGAGCAAAGAGAATGCAAGGTCGCGCTAAGTGGATTCGAGCGAATTTCCGATATTATCATCTTAACACCATTAGAATACGTTTATCACTTTTGCTCCATTGGTCACTGAATACAATATACACAAGAAAATATAGTCTTAAATACAACAATATTGTATGATTGAATGCATTGATAATATTTTTATATAGTTCAGAATTGGTTAGCTTTGATTGTATTCCACTTCAGCTTTTATTCACTTTTATCTATGTACTTGAGATACATCATAAAGAATCCTTAGCTTAAACTTGTTTTCCTTCGTTTTTGTTCTTCTTTATTTTAGTTTGAGAAAATATAAATTGAAGTTGAAACAACTAACATTAATGAAACTTATTTGATGGTTCTACACTTTTATATTCAATCTCTTGTTCTTTTATTTCTTTCTTATTTTTATATATCACACCATAATTAAAATTAACAATTAAACACGATTAAAACACAATTAAAATCATTTATTAATATTTAATATGATTTTTATTAAATTACTTATCTAACATTATTTACAAGAAAATATAATTATTAGACTGCGGATTTTTATACAGAAACACTTTTTTTGGATTTAGGTAATAATAACAAAAGATTTTTACAATGATAATTTTACAATGATTAATAAACACTTTATTTAATTTTAATTTGTGATTAATTTTAATTATAATGATAAATTTTATTATTAGATAAATAATTTTTATTAAAAATGGTATGAAACATTTATTATAATCAAATTGAATTAATATTAAAAATGTAAGAAGTCTTTTGATGGAGTTTCCTACATTTTTTTAAAGCTTCCGACAAAGTGAAAAAGCCAATTTAATTTTATATTTCTGTCTCAATTACTTTAAGACTACTGAAAGCTTTCTTTTCTCGAGATGGTACTACTTATTCTTATAAAAATAGCACGATGAAGGTCGGTCGATAACGACTGCTTTTTTTCACGGCAAATAATCAAGAGACATTGAAAAGAACGGAAAAATTAGCAATTCAACTATAATTTCGCGAGATTTTTGCATCTCACTTGAGACAGCTCGTTCTTTTTCTTGTCTTGTCGCGTACATTTACACCGTCGGTGAAATGGGTACTTATCCAAGTTACAAGGCGAGAAAGAACGACGATGAAAAGAGGGAGGCAAAGTAGGTATATAGCCTGAGAGTTTCCGCGAAAGAAGGGAAAAAAAGAAAAAGCCGAATCAAAGTGGGGGCAGAAAGAAGAAACTTGTTGTGACTCCATAAAAATTCGGAAGCGGTTTCCGAAGAGTCCGAAGAAAAATTCATCCGCGAACTTTATGCAAGATTCCGTCGCGCTTGAAAATCTTCTCTTTTCTTCAATATTCACTTTGTCCACTTTGTATTCAACCAAATCTCGCTGTCCTTTGTAATAAAAAATTAACTTTCTCGACGCTGAAGACAAGTATAATATTTATGCACAATATTTCCGTCTACCGATATATATTTTGACATCTGTTATATCCACAAATTGTTGAAAGATGAACAGACAATTGACTTTTTACAATATTTTATATGAAATCTTTTAATATGTAATGTGATTAATACTTATGTTTATAATTTATATTTCTTTATCATTTTCTTTATGAATAAATCTCTAAAGCTCGTTAGTTTTTGTATTCTTGGATTTAGTTTTTCGTAACACACTAGTAATTTATACTGTTGTACAACGACATGTTTGCATTTGCATACGACTTTTTTAGTCAGCGAATAGAATAATAAAAGTGACTGAAATTTAAACAAATACGTAGAATATGCGAAAGTGTGGCTATTAAACACATCCCTTTTGTATACATACATATAATACGAAATGTCACCAATGGGATATGCCGCAGCTGTGACGGAGATTTATAACATGCAAATATAACTGATAGGTTGCATCATCCTGTTGTGCTATAATTGATATACGTGTAGCTCTTAGTGAAATATAGCTTCACAAACTAGTTTTGCTAATATACTATTGAATATACTCATGCATGCGTATGGATAACCTGGATAAACTTGATAACTTAATTGATTAAGCAGTTATTCAAACATTGCGAGAGCAATCATTTTCGTTATTCAATTTCATGAAAATTAATCCGAAATCCTTTGATATATTTGTTATGTAATTCGTCAATGAAAATGAAATCTTGATATTTATCTGCCATATTTATGTAATATGATGTTAACATTTATTTTTAAATTACATTTAAGAATAAAAGAATTTTCTTATTCCTCCTAGCTAGTTTAACCATGCTATTGTTCCTGTCTATAATTTTGATTGATAAAAAATATGGTTGGCTATATAAACATACCAATATTCTCAACTCCAAGGGCATTAGCTTTGCTCTCTTTATTCTTGTCATCTCTGTTGCATACGTCACCCGTATTCTTCCACCATTTATCGTAGAGGATCTGTATTACACCTTTTTCCTGCAGTTCCAGTATAACTAGAGATATTTTATCCCTCCAGGGCGAACCTGCATATAAAAAGCCTTCGTTAGGCTGGCCAAGGGTTTTGCAATTTCTGCTTCTGCAGCATAATCTCCAACGTAACTTTACCATTGTATGCTGGATATATGTCGAATATATTATTAAATAATATACGTATTTTAAATATGCGGTTTAATCTCATAAAACATCTTCAAATTTTTTCTCATTCCGAGATGGAAATATATAATCTTTTCAGTAAAATTACTTGACTAGCTACATATTTCGTGAACAAAACTGCGTACTTTTAGACTATTCGTTCTGTGGATAAAGAAGCCAATTTTCCTTTAGCATTTAATTGGGTCCATTTCAGTGAGAGAGACAGAGAGAGAGAGAGAGAGAGAGAGAGAGACTTCTTAGCTTTCAATATTAAATACGTTGGCAATTATTCTTTTTATATATGAATTTGAGAGAGAGAGAGAGAGAGAGAGAGAGAGAGAGAGAGAGAGAGAGAGAGAGACTTCTTAGCTTTCAATATTAAATACGTTGGCAATTATTCTTTTTATATATGAATTCTATTAATTGCTATCTTTATTCATATTTACCTTTTGGAGTAGCAATTCCGTAGCCTTTACTATCTAACAATCCTCCTATTTGTGTTAGATTGCAATCGCGTTGAACTGCGTAATCGAGCATAGTCGACTCCATTAAAAATGCGTAGTCTCCTTCCAGGACTCTCTTTATTCCTTCTTCGTAGGTTTGAACGAACACAGATGGACTCTTCGATTCCATAAATCTCCACATTTTTTGATAGATCCCAATTTTTGAATCCTGTGATTAAATTCTTTGATGTACAGAGAGAACAATTTTTAAAAAGTATTTAAAAATTTAGCTAGAAAACACAAAGCTTAAACTAATTTTGTTGGATCATCAGAATAACTGAGCAGTATTGCAAAAAGTTTTAACATTTTAGCAGCTTGGGTGATTTACATAATTAGTTCAATGATTTTATAAAATTATTTTCAAGTCCGTATCTGGTTAAATTTTTCAATTAGTTCTTTCTCAAAGACCGTTCTTTCGGTGCAAATTATTTAATTGTGTGACGCTTTGTACATGCAGTTTGTGTTTTATACACACACACACACATTTCATACTTAATTTGAATCAAAAAGTTTCAATTGAACATTAATTCCCGAATTTGTGAAAAACGAAAAAGTTAATAGTGTAGATTAAAAGAATCAGCTTTTATCCGCAAATTAATATCAACGTTTTTATTAAGCAAATTTGGTTGGATTTTGACGTTGTCAATATTAAAGTTAAATTCAAGAATTTTTTGCTCATTACTTTGCCAACTAATTTGCTCATTTTTCTGAAGTAAAAACGGCTCACTCAGAGGGAATGAAATTTATAAAAAACGGTATTTTTGTTTAACGAATGTAGATTCCTGTTAAAATTTTAGCGTGATATACGATATTTCTGTTATAAATGCATATCACGAATTGATCAACCATTAGTACGACGTCAGCAGATTTATTATATATATATGTATATACGTTTTTTTTTTATTTCAGAGAGCGTGAATGTATTGAATAATTCATTATATTATATATATTTTTACATGTGTATCCGTTTAATATTTTATTAAATTCAGCTAATTAAAAGTCCAGATCACGTTATGCTTTATTAATTTAACATTAATATTATATTTAAAAATTTTTATTTATATCATAATTTTTTGAAATTATAATATAAACGAGAAGTACGGAAATTGTAACATTATACTCGTAATAGGAAATATATAGAAAAAATTGTTAATATTTAAATATGTTGTAATAATAATCATATATTATTGACATTTTAAAATATGCTATTAAGTTGCACAAAAAATATAAAAGTTCTTTTTCTGTAATTTTCTGCACTTACTCTGAAGAACGTCTTCGTGCTTCCGCCTTCTAAAGTGCCATAAGATATCTCGGTTTGTTCCGCGAGATCAGCGACGTTCTCGATCGGCGTTATCATCCTCTCCACCGTCAGGAAAGCAGCCAGATTCGCAGTATAAGAGGAGATGATGATTAGCGTGAAGAACCACCAAATGCCGCCTACTATTCTCGTACTAGTTGCCTGATAACGAGGATTTATTTCATATTCATCTTGAATAGTTTCAATAAATTTTTTATTTAGCAAATCCATGGATATTCTAATTTGACGATATTAAATCATCTGGGAATTAATTTCAAATTATTTTCTGTTCAATTTGTATTGATATTATTTTTTTATATATAAATTACATTGTGAAAACACTAATTCGTCAATTGAAAAGTTTAGAAAATGTAAACATAAATTATTGCCAATAATGTACTTGTAATTTTAACAATCTCTTTAAACTTTCTATAATTTTATAGAAACGTATACGGAAAAAACATTTTGCTGATGTCTAAAAATTTAGGTAAGTACAAATCTAAAAATAATTTTGTTGAACTATCAAAATAAATTATAGGAACCTCAAGCACGATAAGCAATGCTACAAAAAGCATCCTACAATTTGAGCGTTTTACATAATTATTTTGATAGTCCAACAGAATTATTTTTAGATCTGTATGTAGTTAAATTTTTAGATACTTCAGCAAAATTATTCTTTCCATACAATAATTATTAATAGACTCATCATATTTTTCAATAAAATAAAGAAAATTAAAATTGGCTAAATAGGAGTCAACGCGGTAAGTTACGCGCAAATTAATAAAATAAATATTTACTATTGTAAGACATTTAATACATAATTACATAAACGATTGAAATTTCCATAATTAAATCGATGTTTAATATTTCCGGATGTTTCGGCTATACATTTTAGCCATCCTCAACAGAACATTAACGATCAATCATAGTGTCCAACAGGAAGCACAATTATCGGCCAAAGAAGTTACAATGCTTATTGGTAGCGAAATTATGTTATCAAGTGGGACCATGATTAAAAACAGGAAAAAACTTAGTCACTTAAAGATCTTTGTTAAATGAGAATAACGTTTAAACGTTGTGATGTTCTGATTAGTTCTCAACGATGACGACTGATTTGACGACTTACTGCGTTGACTCCTATTTGGCCGATTTTAATTTTCTTCGTTTTATTTTTTCCATGTAAAAAATAATTTTTTGTATAGTGTCAATATATATGCAGTCAATATTATGCGTTTTCAAACAATCAAGTGATACATGTTTTCGTGCGCTCTTCAGACAACACAGTTCAATCCGATCAAGTCAGTAGTATTGGAATCAAAATGTAAACGTATGAGGGAAACATCCGTTTAAAACTTTGGTAGGATTTCTCATGTGTAAATCTTTTGATACATCTGCAGTGTGAGGCAGATATTTCTCTCTTCTGTTACGAAGGATCGTAAGGAGATTTAAAAGATCGATTGAAAACGCATTAGGACGTATCAAGGTGATGAGGTCAACAAGGCGCGATCCTCGAAAAATTCCTCGTAGCATTCGAAGAATGCAATACGGAATCTCGTTTTAGAATTCGCTGTCGGGATATTTCGATCCATTAATGGCGAGGCCGACGCGAAAACGATCGTCAAATGTAGAACACCATGAATGATTCTCTCATTCTCGTATTACTCGGCACCTGCCGCTCGGGAATTGAGCGAACGGATTTAATTCTACTGCGCGGTAATATCCCGCGAAAGAGTTTACACGGTGAATTCGCGTATTCACGATATTTAATGAATGTGCCCAATTCATACGTTGAATATAATTTTGTGTTTTGTAAGTGGTTTTGCTGTGGAATGGCTCTTTTAACAAAAACGAGAGTCTTTTATCTAACGAGTTTAAATCGATGGGAGAACAATTTTTTTGCACGTGCATAATATTATGCGCACATTAATATTATTTGCAATATTACACTCGCTCTGAATGCTCAAACCGCGATTCTCGGCGCATCTGGCTGACATATGAAGCACAATTTCCCGACACTCGAGACAGTCGCAACGACAACCCCGCATGTACATACGTGCCACCAGAGTCAATTGGCATTATATGATGTACTGTAGATATTTACGTTTCCATATGAGATTTTCTATACTCTTTAGCTGTTTCATATGTGAAATTTTTAATTTCTCCTGTAGAATATTTGTTGAATAAATTTCTCAAAGTTTTACGTGTATCAACATGCAATATAGCGATCGACGTAACAGACTTATTCAAATATTTGCTAAGCGTATAATGTACAGTTGTACAATGAGAAATTGATTTAGCTCAAGGAATCGATTACAATACACAGTAGGTCTAAATCATATATGTTTAGCATTGTCTTCAACTGAATTCACAGACTAAGTAAATGAACGCGAATGAACATGAACAATTTAATACTCGCGATGCTGTTGAAACAAATTGTTCATTCGTGTGTGCGTGTATCATGCTCATTTGCTTGATCTAAATCCTGCTTTATATGTATATTTCCGTACCTATTATTTTGTTCGCTTTTTATTTGGAACGGAAATATATTTTAAAATTTGTACGTATGAGCGAAAAACTTTGTGTTTAGTGGGTAAAAAAACAATACATATTTCGTGATTTGTAAGTTTAGAAGAGTTGACATTACATCGTAATGATTTAACGATATGATAAATGGACATATTTGCAAGATGATGTCTTGTTAACAAAGTTATTATTCGTATCAAAGTTAATGTAATTATTTGGCCATAGGTTTAGTCATCTTTTCTAATTTGGTCATGTATTTGTATTTATTACACTTTCAATTAAAATAAGTTAACTCGTTCAAAAGTAGAATTTACGCATGAATCAGATTAATATAATCATCATCCAGATTAATTGATAATTTCATATGGGGAATTAATGATCGATTTAGGAAACTAATTATCTATTTGATTAAACATTATACATTTCAGCATGAGTATCTTATGTTATTTATCTAAATTTTGGATAGTCTCTAGTGATATTTCGCAACAGGTATATTAAATACAATATATGATGCGTATATAGCTTGTATTCTAGTAATTGCTTTTGCCAATGATAATAGAAATAGATGACGAGAACCCGGAAATTCGTGAGGTATCACGGGGAACATTACTAAGCGAGATACTGTTGAGGACATGTAATTGTTTTCATGTGCATCACGGCTTAGTGTAAACAAAACCTCCTTTCTACAATGCCGTTGGCATTGTCAGAGAAACAACACCAACTCGAATCTCTCCGTGAAACCTAACCTCGCGAATTTCCATGCTCTATAACAAATGACCACATAAGTAGCATAAATGCATGCTGCTGTTTCCAGACAGTTTTCAAAAGCAACAATTAGCATTTAGTACAGATAAATATTACAATGCAATATCTATTTTTTGCAGAAGATCATAATAGACAATGAAAATGATTAGTACGCTATGCAATAAATATGTACGCGTCTTTAAAAAATAATCCATAAAATACGATTTGCAATCTATTTGCAACAAGAAATATATTTTTTAATTCGCTATTTGTTATTCTAAATATTTTGTTATGATTTATATAATAATAGATCGAGACACAAAAATTATAATAAATCCGGAATGTTCTTTCTACTAGTCCTGCTTTTTAGTAACATACTCTCTTGCTTTTATGTAACATGAAATATTGAGCAAGTAAGTTCGGAAAACACCGTTCGATGCTGCAGGAACATCCGCAGCAGTCATTCGCGTAAAAGTGAAGAATCGAATGTTGAATTTACTATCAAGAATTTATCAAAAGCTACTGTTATCTTACGTTTTCTGCATGTAAAGTTCATTGCTCGTTTTAATCCATTTTAGCATTACTCATGAAACTAAAATCTCAAGGAACACATGATTGATTATATTTTTATAAAATGTCGTATATCTTTATGTTAAACACATGGATAAAAATTATTATTTTAATGTAAATTATACGCCTTAATTGCAAAAGTACATAAGTATTATATGAAGCAATACCGTATGAAACAATAGTATATAAGTTATTATACAAAATAAAAAAATTAATTTAAAAACTACTGCAATAAAAATAAGTCGGTTGATATTTTATTTAATTATTGAAACCAATAAAAAATTGCTACAATAACGTAAACGTAAAGAATCGAAAAGTATTGGACTTATATGTGCATGCAGGGCTGATGTTCGTTTTTTTATTATCTTTTTTATATTTATAAATTATACAAATAATAATTTTATAAACTATTGCATTTTCTCTCAAGTTTTGTTTTTATTGAAAATCCAAGCTAGATTACAGTTAATATTCATTCAATAATTCATGTGCTTGTAAAGGTTGTATTTATTAATTTATTATCTTTGGAATAAATAATTTATGTTAAGATACAGTTTGTTGTTTGGTTATTACATAACTTGATAAGTTATATTAATAAATTTTTAAACATTTATGTAATACGACTAAAAGTTATGCTGCAGGTAAAATAAAATTTTAAGAAAAGAACTTTACGTGTGCAAGTTCCATTTCTTTTTTTAATCTTTGTAAGTACGGCAAAAAAAGAAAGGTATGGCACGAATAATGACGTAGTTTCTTTCGCTTCGAATGCTTCTATTGTCCACAATAGCAATGCCGGTGCCGTCCCGAGTTCATATCTCGCAGATACTTTTCTCGCGATTGACGGAACTCTATACAATATTGCACGTATTATTCGACAACTAGAAGCCAATTGCGTACTATTCTGCACTGCTGACATTCTTCATTTTATTCCTATCATATTATACGCAGTGGAAGTAAAAATCAGATGTTGAGAAAATTTTTTGTAGCGGATTTATATGAAAACGAAGAATATTATATTCTCCTTTTATAAGAGACATCCTATAACCACCATCTGATATTTTAATGACGTATTCTAAAAATACTATAAGATTATTTTACAAACATTAGTATCAAGAAATTATTAATATACGTAAAAAATTAAAAGAAATATTTGTCATGTAGCAAAAGCAGTGCTAATGATTAGTTAAATGCTATTTTCTATTCTTTAATTCTTGTATAAATAATGAAACTATAATTATTAATTATTTAATAACTCATTTACGTCTAATAATCCATTATTTCGTATTATTTGTGACAGTTATTAAATGTTTTGTTGTTGAATAGAAAAATTTGATATAGATTATTTTACAGTTAATTTCTAATTAATATCTAGAATACGCTATAATACTGTTATAATTAATAAAATATGTACTTTACATGTTAGGGGTATTTATACTTTATTATTTCTAAAATTAATATGCTTTTTATTTTGCTGTCTTGTAAAAATTGTAAATTTATTGCAATTGCTATATGCGTTTCATAATGTATTTAAAGTCTCTCTTAGTTTTATTCGATGCTATTTATCTTCCATGATTGTTATGTATAACGTACTTATATGGTACCTTTGTGCGTCTGACATTTATTTGCTTTTGGAATACATGTTGAATTTCACGTTTTATGCAAGTAAAACCACTTAAAAATTGCATGTTTGAATGAAATTTGCGACATTTTATAGTACGCGTAAAAATATGACGTGTTTGTGGAACGGACATAAATTGTTTTTTTAAAAAACTTATTTCTACAAAAGTAAAAATTTTTTAAAAACAAAAATTAATAATCTACATATTCTTTTTGTCACACACTAACAATAAAGGTGTAGATTAATTTTAATTTTTCATTCACGTGATTTTCTAAATTAAAGTGAGATATGTTTGGTATCAATTTTAATTTTGTAACAAAATGGAAGATTTACTTGCAGAAAAAAATAATTAATACACATTTAATTGGGTTATTTGAGATATCAGAACAAATTTCTCTTTATAACTTTGTCGTATATTTTTTATTTTCTGCAAAATATTCCCAAATCTAATAAAGTTCTCTCACTGTTCGGGACATTACATTAGCTTAGTACATAACTATATTTAGCGAGTAATTTTCAAGCGTACCTTGTATATGTGTAATGGCTAAAAAAAGAAACCTGTTTTCTGTAGAATAGACTTGCGCGGCATAAAAAAACGGACGATCTCATACATAAAATGCATAAATCATACAAAAAATAACAGAACATAAGCATAATAATAATCATTAAAAAGAATTTCTATAAACTGTTGTAAAAATTTCTGAATCGACATTTTAGAGCATGAAAAATAGGAGTACGGTATAGAAATTACCTATTTTACTTTTCGATTAAAATTTACGTAAGTCATGATAAAGTAATTAAATTATCACTTTCTGATTTTGCTAATATTCTACCTAGATGAATGTTTTGTTGCCGTAAAAAATTTTAAAGGTGTGTTTAAAATATATACGCTTTTAAATCGTGCGATCCTTTTTATAATAATAAGTGCCGCAAAAGTTAGTTGAAATGAGTAGTTTTAATAAGAATTTCTAGAAATCCAACAAGTTTTTCTAAGGCTATTCATAATTGTACATAAGTTGTGTTAATAAAAAAGGGAATGTTTCTCGAGATATTTGACTCCGTGGTGGCACGTTTACCTTAGGGTTGAGGTCGCTGCCCTGTTGCATAAGTGTGCCGACCGTAAACCAAAAACTGTTGGCCAGGCTGAACTCGTTGACAGTTTTCAGTAGAGGAATGTCATCGCTGTCCGGATCCAAGGCGCTCACGTGACTGCCCTGATGATAACGTGTTAAGCTCCTCGTCGAGTGGTGCAGTTTTAAAAATAATTATAACTAATTGTATACATAACTTCTTACATACATCGTATATTTTTTATGTTTCTTTGCACTATGCAGACATGGATAATATTATGAAGGATTGAAAATGCAGATGCGAAATAAGTCTAAATTTGCTATAATAATTTGTGAACAGCATTTTCTTTAAGAAATAAAAATTTTCTCTTTTTTATAAAAGTATCTGTTTTCTTGCATTATTGACGAAGAATGCTGCATTAAAAGATGTGTACTTTTTGCATATTAATTAACTGTTTTTTATTCGTCTAACATTTATTCTTATAATATGAAATCATGAATAATATAAATTGAAAATAAGCTTTGTGTGTGTGTGTATGTGTTTAAAATTATGTGAAAAATATTATGAAGCACATAAGCTCGTATTTATAGTCGCGTTTCTGCTGAGAAACTCAACTGAAACTAATTTTGAGTCGTGGAACAGTTTAATAGACGAATATTGAGAGTTGATTTACTTCACATTTGTAATTATGACTCAAGTAAAACATGTATCATATGATTTGTGTCATATTAACGCGTCAGGTTATTTTCAGACAGGTGAAAAACATAACTTTAATCGATATCTTGTATCTCAAAAGAAATTTAACATGAATAAATCATTCCGCTATCTCAAATTAATACAGTTTCAATTGATTTCTAGTCAAGACATGACAATTGAATCGTCCGTGTTTCAAGATATAAAATTCCATTCTGAGTATCTCGCCTGATACGCTCTTGAAATGAGTCGAAAAACGACTATAAATACGAGCCTTATAAAGTAACAATTTTTTAAATAGTTGAAGTACAGTAGATACTTATATTTTATTATTTTTTAATTAAAATGTAGAATTACGAAATATTTAAAAAAGTACTCTGCGTTTCGCAATTTAAATACAGTCAATCGATCGCACCACTCGACGTGAGCCTACCTGCAAAGGACATTTGCAGCTTGGGCAGGGGGACGGCTCCACCCACTCAAAGGGCGAGAATCTTGCCACTATCCATATTGTTAAAGACACCACCACGTAAGCGCCTAGCAAGAACAACCAGATCTCCATGGCGAGGGGAGTCATGAACGAGAAGAGCCGCGGTGGCGTGCGTTTGGTTACCTGAAGCATTGACGTGTTACGATTTGTTGTTACTAATTTTCGAAAATTGATCTGATCGACCTGATACGATATTGAAGATAAGTTTACGATGAATGCAACGATGCATGTCCAACCATCACGTCGCGTTCCTTGCTGAAAAATAATTCGAAGACGTGAATTGTAACTCTCGTATCACTTTCTTGCACAATATTCGGTCTTTTAAACGGCTCGAAAGACGATTCTTTATTTCGACGGAATTACGGAAGCGTATTATTCTCCGGCCTGTCGAGCAGAACACAATGGCGGTGCACTCTCGAGTGCAATCACCGTACGTGCTGCTTTATTTTTTAACGAGGGATCGCTAACGTCGTGGGAGGTAATTGAGATTGGATTGTAAGACGCACAGTCCATTGATAAAAATTTAATCAGATAGCGTATTCTAAATAATTTACTTTGAAAACGTTAATCTCTATCTTTATGTTAACTTTTGATTATTTAAAAAAAAGATATTCTTTTGATTAAAAAGAAAATATTCTTTCTTCAATGATCAATGAAAATTACTTGTAGAATAACGCATTATGAGGTTCTTTTAGCTCTGAAAGCGAAATGGAAAGTGCGATATGCTTTATACAAGATTTTACGCGATATTGTAACAATATATATTGCTCCAAGATTTGCTCGATTATTTTACTCGCAGCTTTACACAGTGAGCATTCCTGTAATATTGCAAATATATGATTCGCAACATAAACAGATATAAACGAATTGACGTGCGCCCTGCAAACAGACATCTACTGTTTGCACTCCGGCGAGATGATGGATTTATGTGCGCGCTGCCTCGTGAACGGGTACTGTGCAGCGTTCGGGGGCGGTGAACGTGAGAGAAACGGGCGGGCATGTCGGATGAAGGATGTCCTGGTGCGGTCGGTGAATACGCGAAGGAAAACGGTAGAAGTAGTCCAATGGTGGAGCACCTCGTTGAGTGTACCTTAGGGTTGAGACCGCTGCCCTGTCTGAGGAAGGTGCCGGTGATGAACCAGAAACTGTTGCTGACGGTAAACTGGTTCTCGACCACGTCGCTCTCGGCCAGGCACGGATGCGGATTGTTCCACTCGTACGGGCTGAAGCGCGCCATCACGAAGAGGGTGAAGCTCACGAGCATGTAGGCGGCGAGCACGTAGAGCCAGATCTCGACCGCCAACGGATTCATGAAGGAGAAAAGCCGTGTCGGTTGACTGGACGGCACCTAAATTACGTCACGCTACGATTTTAATTAAAACGGATCCCGTTTCGTGGTGCGACGCGACGCGATGCGACGCGGTACGGCGCGGTACGGCGCGGCGCGGCGCGGCGCGGTGCTGCGGGTCGAGTCAACTTTTACGGCAGTCCTGGACATTCAAAGGCTCTTTTCGCGAGTACACGTTGAAGAAAGAAAAATTTGCGAGACAACATGCAATGCAGATTATTTGACGAATTAATTTCTCGTATTTAATTAAACGAATTGAAATTCCTTTGAATTACATAAATACGTCTTGCGTATTTATGACTGATATTATCGTAGAATAATTAAAGCATCTATTATGTTCCTCATTATTTAGTAGGCTAATAACGTGCTCGTATGAAAATCACTTTTGTTAATGTATGTTAATGCAATGCATATACTGAAATATAATCAAGAATTAAACATTAGAGACATTAATACGTACTTTGATGGAGAGGTAATGAAATATTAACATCATGTCGCATGCAAATGTAATTTTAAAAGGAATTGACAGTTGATGCACGGTGTTAACTCACCTTAAATAAAATTCCAATTCCAAGATTCATAAATGGCTTTGTGAAGTCTATTACGCTTTCCCTAGCATAATTAATCGTCATGGAAGCAACTGCCAGATCCGCCCTCTGAAAGAATTAAGCACTCAACAGAGTTATGGGAATTCAATTTTCTTGATAAAGTTGAAGTCGAAGTCATATAAAAACAGAGATGCTTATTACATCATGAAAAACAGTATAGGAAATAATAATCACATAAAGAACTTTTATCAAAGAAGTATTTATCGTTCATTTTATAGAATGTGTTTTCTATAATATTATAAACAGATAAAAATAATCAATTTGTATCGCGGAACATTTATACCAAGCAAATGTATTTCTTAATATATAAATGTATTGTGAATGAAAGGACTTAAAATTAGTGATAAGATCTTCATTTTCTCTCCGAAATAATGGATGAATTTTTTACGAACGTGCGAGTGTCGCGGACTATGAGACATCATTCGTGTCGTCCTCCTGTTTTAGAATATTCGCCTACGGTTTTGTAGGTTTCCAGGTTAAAGCATCCCTTTTCACAAGAGACAGATTGCTTTGCATGTTTTATAAACTGCTGATCTTCGGTATTCAGAGAGCACGCTGAGACGATCATTGCAAACTTTATGCATGTGTTTTCGTTTCTTTGCATCTCATGTTTTAAATTAACGCAAGCTACGCAAATTTTTAATAATAACAACTAACAAGTAATTATGATTTTTTCACAATATTTTTTATTGATATTAGTTTTCGAAAAAGCTAAAGTCATATTATATTAAATTATTTTCATTTTCTCTCTTTCTTCGTTTATCTTTATTTGCTGCTTTTAATTGCGATATAAATAACAAAAAATTTTAGTTGCTAAAAAATGATATATGTAACAATATTAAAATAAAAATAGTTTTGTAACTCTAGGGATAAACTAAATAAATTGCTTGTATAAATTTTCGCGATTATTAGTGCGTTAATAATATTTATAAGATGATAGAATATAATGTACAATATGAATATATTTATCATATATTTGAAATAGAATATATTTATTACGATATTCCATACATGTCTTACATAATAAAATGTTGCAGTGTACGAAGTTGTTATTTATCAAAGGTTCTATCTAAATGATTTATGTATCACAGTCAGTAAAATTGGTAATAGAATGTCAAAAGCTTTTAGCAATCGTATATGTTCGTAAATGTATACGCAATACGTGTTTCGATATATTATCAGCAACAAATGCTTGAATTATCTATTGGACGAAAGCAAAGCATTATTTCGGAGAGACTTGTTACATATGTATATATGTGATAAAATCAATTCAGCTAACCGCAGCAATATACGTATAAAGTAATTATGCGTACAAAAATTAAATGCTTTTGGGAAACAGCTGAATATTTGTATTAATTATATCCATTTACTTCGTCCATGATTAAAATGTTATTGCAAATATTAATTTTTTTATCTGGTTGCTAATGGATTATTTTTTAATATAATATATCGTGTAGTATGCGCGTGTGTATATATACATATATCAATACTTGAATTGTACTATCGTTAAAAATTGTCAGTATTTTTAGAACCACAAAACCCGATTCGGATTTACTCTTACGCCAATAATATTTTTGCATAGTAACTGTACGCGCGACTTTTTCACGAATAACATACGGGTTTGTTTTTAAACGTGCGTAAGTATATCTCATATATCGCGCTTTTGTGCTTTTATCTTGTATCAGTGATAAAACTTCAAGTTCTATAAATACTCTTTTTTTTTAATTTCCACTTTTCAACGCATTAATGTTTACTGGATAATGTTTCCATTTTTCGTTAAAAATTCGTACGCGAATGAACATGTATTTTCTTTCTCTGTTAATACTGGCTACATAGATGCGATCGCGAGGAAACAGAAAACAGTACGAGTGGAGAACTACTTCTCCCCGAGTAACGGAAAGACAATATTTACCTTACTCTAGATATATACAAACGCAGAAAAGTCAGAATTTTAATCAAAATTTAAAGAGAAATTCTTGACGTTAAAAAGCATAAATATTCTTTATTCTACATTTTTGAATTTTAATTATCATAATAGATTTTTTGTTAACAAAAGGAGTCGAAAATAAATAACACAATAAAAAATAAAATATAATATAATATAATAAAAAATAAACAATATAATAAAATTGGAACAGCAAAAAGTAATTAAAATAATGATTAGTATTTCATTTTTATATGCATATACATATTATAACAATTAATCGAGAAGGGTTCCATAAATTTCAATATTAAGTTGCATTTTTTGAAGCAAATATTAATAGTAATTTTTATGATGAAGATGTTTATTATAATATATATTTTGCTTGTGTGTGTATGTGTGTGTGTATTAAGAATTTGATTAAAAATTTGCATCTCTGATGTTTCCATCTCATTATCCCAGTGAAATCAAACTTCGAGAATAAAGTTTGATTATATAACAGATGTAAAACACATTTCATTTAACTGAAATATTTTCTAACTGTCTAAAAATGAAGCGTTAAATATTGGTGCAGTGTTAATTTGCAGATTACACATGTCACGTTCCGAATTAATAATTGTGATAGGTATTTCAACAATTAACTAAATTTCAATTTACTGTGGAAATTAAGTGAACATTGCATATGCGCCTACTCGATCATGCAGACAATAATGGATCGGCGGCACAGATTAAATTCGAAAGACGCTCGGTGGTGCATGTATAAAACTTCGATTTTAATAACTGCACAATTTTACAATTCAAATGACAAAGTGCAACATCTGTGAGCTGATCTATGAATCGAAATATTAAATACGGTCGTTTGGTCATGGGAAAAATGGTTAATCCAGGTGATTCTTGTATCCGACTGCAGGCGTAATGAAATTCCTCGCGGGATGGATTTATTGCGACACGTCTGCGGAAATTTACTTTGCTTTGCATATAAAATCGGCCTCTTGGGTCGCGTGTACCCATTCTCCTCTCTACCTCGATATTTCTCCTAATATACTATGCTTGCGCAATTTCAACAACATTATTAACACATTGTGGTCGAAATTAGTTTTGGGGAAGAAAATAATATTCGACATTATTTTTACATTTTTTCACTAATATTATTACAATTATTAACGTTATTTAGAATATTTTATAATTGGAAAAGTAAGGTTTACTAACTGTACGATTGTTGTGCCTATTGTTTAAAATGATTTATAAAACACTATATAAGATCCACATTGATACAGAAATGCGAATGATTAATCAATATCTTAATTACTTTTTATCTCGTGACATTCATTAAATCTTTTACCGATTCTCCCAACGTGTTATCGATAATGCAATTTTTTAATTTTAATTCAGCGTATATTATCACCAAATTATCTCATTTATCACCATAACGTTTATTTTATTTCTTATAATATTGTACCTCACAGTACAAGTTATCTCATGGAAGGAAAGCACGATCTATAATATGTATTCTGTCTTACCTTATCCATAAGTTCGCGCACGATTCCGTTCCACTCTTTCGTCTCAGGATCGTACACTCCATACATGTGATCGGGCACCAATTTGATTGCGTATTGGAAACCAACTTGGCCGGCGATCCACTTGAGCAAATCGATGCAGAAGCCTTCGAACCTCGCGTTACCAGTCAAATTCTTGTCTTCTTTTACCATGACGTAGGGTCTTTCCTGTGGAAGATTGGATCCCACTGATAGATCGTAGAATTGTGCTCATCGTGACAGGAGGAAGGCAAAGGCAAACCCTTAAAAATTCTTATTTTCGCGTGAGATGGTTATATCAAAGAAAAAAGGTGAAAAAGAAGCTACCGTTTCTAGCGAATATACAGCATTTTGATCGCCTGTCCCTCAAATATTTCCTTTTCACAACACAGCCATGAATTTTTCATTTTTCTGAGAATATCGTACAATAACACCGATAAAGTTCCTTCGATCAACTAAGATTTTTCCTTAATATGACAATTCGCGATTTTGCTATTTTTTTTTTAAACCCTCTAAAGCGCTTCTGAATTTTTTCTTTACGAAAATGATAAACTAGTATTGAATCAAATTACGTGTTTTAATATTTAACACATAAAAAGATCAAGAAACCAATAGAAATGAGAGTTTGGAAATTAAGTTTTCTAATTTTCACGTATTATTTATCTCACATATCCAATTATTTTAAGACCAATTTAATATGAAAAACACCAAGTAATTTAACATATTTTTGTGACTCATAAATTGTTAGATATTATTCACAAGTACATATTGAAGATGCTATGCGGCTTAAATGTGTGGACACTATCTCTACGCGGCATAACAAACTTACCCGACCTATTTAGAGCAGCTTTCATATCACCATGCGATCCATACACTTGCAGTATTCTGCTTAATGATTAATTCTAACGCTATGAGGTCGCAAACGTGACTAAATTGGATACAAGGTATCATTACCTCTCTCGTCATCACCACGAGCGTAATGTTGGTCGTCGTGGTCTCATAAAAGGCGTCTAGATCCGTGACGTTAATGCCAGACCCGGATTTCCACTCGCCGACTTTAACGAGCTCCTCTTTTTTCAGTTTTAAGAGGTCCAACTTGAAATTGTTTCTCTTCCCTTCATTGAACTCAATATGTCCGGTTAATCCATGTAAGCCTGCCTGCAACAGAAACACTCGTATAAACTCAAATTCGTGTCGATTAGGTTGATTCATTAGCTTGTTGCGATAAATGATAAATAAATGACAACATATTATTCATTTTATGTATATATTACAAATTTTACTATTGTTATTTTTAATTACTGCAGAATATACTATTTAAGCTTCTGTAGAGCAAGAACGTAGTGAGGTGAATTTTGTATTTTTATGATAATGTGTGTAGCTCGTATAATTCTTCGAAGCTTTGTATCTCTATACTATTTAAAAATAAGTAGGATGTGAGAAAAATTGCACTTTTATGGTAAATAGTGGTCTCATGAAGAGATAACAATATCTCTCGAAGTCGAGTCTAATATGCGAAACGTTGCGAAATTAAATATTACCATCCAAATTATCACTGGCGAACATCGAAAAGTAACAAAATTTTTATACGCAACATTATACTCATAACTGGTTTAATAACGAACAGCCGGATTTACTGTTCGTTAAATCATGTACGTGCGCGTCTGATTCTGGTTAAATTTATTTTTCCTCCGTGTCCAGTAGCTCACAGATACGCATACATATATACACGATTCATTGCTGACGGCCTACATTTCCGGTGCATACAGTCGGCGAAATTTTTCGCATTAATTACCGTTTGCGGTCTACCGGTGGTTTGCGCATAGTTTATTTGATTTACCTTTCTTCTTTTTTAGTATATGTTTGTTGAGTTGATGGAATATTCATCTAAAATGTGCTTCTTCTTAAACTTGATCACGTATTCTATCAGTACAGAGAATAAATTCTACACTGGAAGAACAATTTTCTTGATATTGTGCTTAATCATAGTTATTATTATTATGACGTTAGTAATAATAATTATGTAAAATAAAATTGAAATATATAAAATAATGCCTATACGAGCCAACACCAGTTGTTCGTGTGAAAAATTATAACATTATTTAAATTATTTTAGCCACAAAGAAAAATGCCTTTAAATTGAGTTACAAAGTTTGATAAATTTATAGATTGACGCAGTTGTTAACACGATTTGGTAAAAATTGGCGTATATAGAAATACAATGGTTTTCACTTGTCCGTGCTTCACGTAGTTATCTCCAACGTATTTTTACAACCTTTATGATTCCATGAAACGCGTTGTCAAATTATTTCGGAAAAAAGAAATCGTCTTTTATCAATCCGGCAGCTGGCGCGAGAATTTTAGCAGTGATTCTACGGTTAGGATTTTTATCGGGCTGTCAGCAGTGGTATTGCGGATTGTACACCGATCGATAAATCTCCGTCGCGATATCCTCGTCAGTACCGACATCGACGAGCCGGTTCGCAAAATCAAAAATACGCCGATGTTCGCGAAACAAATGGTAAGCGCGCCGGAAGTAACCTGCGCGGCGGTGCACGCCGCCACATGTATTTTCGGTACTCGACGTGCCCTCTCCGTCCAACGAATACGCACGTTAATTACGCTATGCGTGCGTCGATACATCACGCGTGTAAAACCATTACACACGCGTACATTGTACACAACAGAAAATGCAGCTCAGGATATTTTGCGGAAGCACGTCGCTATGTACGAATAGTTTAAAAAAAAAGGTAATAAAACGCGAAACTATTGTTTATAAAGGATTGAAATATCCGGATAGTTTATTGCAAAATAAAACTTTCTATTTTTATATTGTTTTATTAAAATAATAGGTTTGTTTTCTGATTTGCAAAATACACAGTCTGAACTGGTGTACACTTTTAGGATTTACAGTGAAATAAAATATGTTTGATATTTAGCGAGAAAGCGAAAGAAAAGTTCTGTCAATCTAGTGCAGGAATAAAAAACAGACGCATAGATTATTATATTTTCAGTCAAAGCGGTGCTTGATTTACCTATATGCAAATTCATTTACATTGAGATAAGAAGCGTTTTTATTATGCTATTTACTTTTATACCCGTAATATTAAACACGTGTATTGCACACACTCGACTATTAATTATAATTTTATTTTATCATAAGAATATTGAATTTTGATAAATTATTTAAACCTGTAGAATAAATAGTCCAGAGGGTAAATTTTACATAATTTGTAATAATCAATTCAGCATTTTTATATGTATTTTAAATTGAGAAACGACATTAATTTTAATAGAAATTAAAATTTAAATATGTATACAAAATTGAATTAAAATTCTGAATTTTGCATTACGATTATTAAATAATTTAAATACCTTTTAGTAATGTGTTGTTGACAATTTTAATTAAAACAGAATAAAACGCATGATATAATATTACTTTTTACGTAATACGTTTGAAAAAATTATTATTTAAAAATAACATTTGAAAGTAGGAAACAAATAAGATTTTTTTTTACTTAAAGTATGATTTGATTATATTGCAACGTTTACTTGTACCTGAATATTTGTTCTAATTTTAATGAATACATTTTGTTTATTCAAAATTTTTTACATTTTACATACGTTTTAATAAACTTTTATATATATATATATGTAAAATACACACACACACACATATACGCGCGTTTTAGTATGTGTTTTAATCATTGATTAATTAAAATCAGTTTTTTTGAATGCTAGCAAATGAAATTTTTTTACGACACATTTTATTTATTTAAATTTTGTTTACGTTTTACATATATTTGAAATCATACACCAATATACATATTTTAATAACTGGTTAAGTATTTTATACACTTTGGATCTGTCAGTTATTTCTTATTTACGCACATTTATTTTGCCTGTATTATCTGCTCTGTATATCTCATACATGTTTGTATACCTTTAAAGTGTTGAAGTGGAAGTGTATCTGAATAGACAAAGTTGCAAAAACCGCCTATACTTGCTGGAGTACATCAATCTTGTCGCTTTTATAGTGAGTTTTACCTTTTAGTGTCTAGCTCAAGGTGCTTAAGCGGTGTAAGATTTGGAAAGACTTTTAAGCGTAATAATGTGAAATTTGTCAGAATTATAAAGTAATTAATATTATATATATTAATCAGGAGACATGGTAGTGTTTCGGCGCTAATACAAACTTAGCGACATTATCGTGCGCTTTACGTGAGATCGCGAATTGCGGGGGATCGAGTATATTTTACGTGGAAAACTACAATTATATTACAATTACATGATGTATAAATAAAACGTGTGTATATATTACGTGAAAAGATTGCTTATGATGATAAAGAATTTAGATCGACAGTTATTTTTTTGTAATAAAGTTATTAAACCTGTTTAATTTAAATACTATGATGGTAATACCGGCTTAAAATGTTAAGCTGGTCATTATCCGCTCAACGTTACTTAGAAATACATTCGCATTGATAATTTAGATCATTCATTTATTTACACAGACACTGTTATTCACAGAACGGCAGAAATGGCGGACACGATTATTCCGTTAATAGGATATGGTCACGTCGGAAGCTGCCAGTTTACCGTCGCGCAGGATTTAAATGCATACGCGGAATGCAACCGCGATAGTGTAGTCGCGCGCAGTATATATACTATCTCTTCGCGGCACGATATTTATTTCGGATTTAACATGAAAGGAACATCGATAACCGATACGGTGCAGCGACGTTTCGGAAAGTATCACAGCCATGAGACGAGAGAGCGTTGATATTTACGAACGAGTAGACGCTACGTGAAAGGAATAGAGCAAGCAGACTTATCGGGAACTTTCATAATTTCTGCGGCAAAGTTCTTTTTCTCTTTTTCTCTTTTTCTCTTTTTCTCTCTCTTTCTCTCCTTCTTCTTCTTTTTCCTTTATTTTTCGAACATATTTTTATTGCCTGATAACGTTGTACGTCTTAACCGAGACGCAATGCATCCAAATAATAAAAAACATTGCAAGAGGCTAAACGTGATGCTCAAGATACAGTTTATATATACCGCCATATATCACATTTATTTCTCACCGACAATTGTCGAGGATATACTGCTGAAAACTTGTGATCGTATAGCGACAAAATTTTGAAAAATTGTTACGACTTATGTCGCCTCGTTTTGTTTTCGCACGTTTCCAATTATTCTAGGGATTTGGACTTTTCTACAAACTTCTAATTTTCTTTGTCGTCGTGGAAAAAAGAAACTTTATAATATCGCGTAAGAGGAAATGTTACAGGAATAATTTACAATACAAAAAGCCGTCATTATGTAAACTTCTAAATGTCTATGATACATTTAAACGATATGCGCATCATTATGCTTTCTATCCCGATAACTGTTTTTTAATACCCGACGTTGTGAGCTTAACATATCGAATTTATATTGATACGTTAAACATAATATCGTTTGTAAAACACTCTGCGAAAGATAATACCAGATTAAAAAGTAAATTTAATAATTTTAGTGAAAGGAGATTTAAAATTATTGTGATTTCATTATTTAATACTGATAAATTCTATTATTTTACGTAATAAATATTTTACATAATACGTTTAATGCCATTCAGTAATAATATTAATGAAAATGCTTTTGTAATTTATTGCATCTTTTCATCAAAATGATACGGTTGCTATATACTTTATATTCGAATTAATGCAATTTATGCATCATTGTATAAACAGTAAGTATCAACATTATTAATTGTACACTTGTGGACAATAAGGTTGTGATACTTTTTTCTTAATAGAAACTTCGGAACGCGCAGCATCATAAGTAAGAACCAATCGCTCGATGAATGTGCTGCATTCCGAAATCCATTAAGAAAAGAATGTTGTCCTTATTGTCCACGAGTGTACGTACATAATTATTTATCAGAAAAAAATGTTCATTTTCCATTACAATTTAGCTCCCGGTGTTATGAGGAATATAGACACATAATGATGGGCGCTTCTGGTAGTGAACTTCTGGGAGGGAAATGATAGTTATTATACCAAAAATATTGAGTTCGAATTTTAATATTCATGCTCTACTAGATCTCACCTTTCCAAGTTCCAACAACGTATAGTTTACCGCGTAACGCCGAAGACCAAAATGAACATCCTCCTTTCTTAATGAAGAACGTGTGTGACGGTTTTTCGAGGATTGTAGATGTCACATCCCAGGTAGCAAACACACGTCATTTTAACGTCAAATTTTGGTCAATGCTGACGTCTTAATGACGTTCTAACGTCGCAAATTATATGACGTCATCGCGAGGACATCATTTTGACGTTCCAACATGACATCATGTTAGGACGTTTCCAAATGAAGAATTAAGGAGGACCAACATATATGACGTGATTATAACGTCATAACATTAGTTGGTCAATATTTGGTCACTTGACGTCATTCGTATCAACATGATCAGAATTTGACGTCAAAATGACGTGTTTACTACCTGGGATATGATTGAAAACGTATATACACATATATTTAATAGAGGAAAGTTCCTTATTATTATAAATATCTATAAATATTGGTTAAGTTTTAATGAAGGAAATGATTGCATTACGTCAACGTTAGGAAGGATATATTACATTTACATTGCATTGGCACGATTTAGTATAATAGCTGTTTTTGTAGATCTTCTAATAAAATCAATGTGAACAATACGGAGGAAAATTGACGTTTTAATTCCGCTTTAATTTAACTTTAAGCAAGTAATCTTTATTTAATTTAAGCAGGATCAAAAATAATATTGAATCGCTTTTTCTCCCTACATCACGATTAAAACGCGACTTCTGCTTTTCCTCAATCACTTCAACGTAAAAGTTCAAGGACTTTCTTGTTTAAGGATTCAAAGGCTCGTATCTTGCAATATTCCAATTTGTGAATTTCAAATAAATCTTTGCAAGTATAAAGAAATTATTCTTCTTTGTCCAGATTTTTAATCCATGGATAATATTTGGATTTATTATTTGCGAATAATTCCGAAAAAATAAAAAATTTCTCGGCTAATAAGAAAATATTCAGGTACGAAATTTTAAGCTCACATTAATTCGTCATTGTCGCATCTAATAGGGAAGTCCTGTGTCGGTTGCACTCGGGTAATAAAACTTGGTGCTACATGGGAACTAAGTCATGAGCGGCACGTACGCGCGAGTTTACGTACGTGTCTCTCGTATGACGCGGTCGTGCATTCGGGATGGTCGCCGTGCATGGAAAGCGCGACCATAGTGGCTAAAGGAGGAGGAAGCCCCGAGGTGAGGCTTCCGGGATGTAGCTATTTGCTAAATACGTTGTTCAATTATTCATGTGTCAACGTTGCTTTCCTTCCATTGCCTTCTACATATATGTTTGCGGTTTATCACCGGGCGAGTACCAATCTCTGCAAGGCGACCAAGAGCTACTCTCGATCGTCAAGATGGTAGCAATTTTTTACTATTTTCTTTCGTCTTGAAGAGTCGTAACTTTTCGTCAAGTTATAATAAAAGATATGCGGTATTTTGAACTTTTTAATACGTGTATTTTAATACTTTTGTGGCCGGAATAATTCTTTTATATAGAAAAAACTTGGCGGGTCGCATTAAAAGATAAAGCTAGTGGTAGCATAGCGTCGTGAATTGGCAGCGACACGAACTCCTCGTATACGCAATGACGTTCACGCGTCAAGCGATCAAATCAGCGGTTATAATTTTTGGCTTACACATTGTTGGCTTGGTTAACACTTGGCGTCGCGACGCTACCGCGTCGCTTGATTCGTAAACTGAAAAAGATTTTTATTTGTGTTTTATTCGTAAATATTTTGTTTATTTCAGCATTTTTTTAGATTTTATGAATTATGATGAATTTTTATCATTCGTAAGTAAAGAGATTATTGTTGAATTTTAAAAGCTTGAAAAGAGGCTGTAAAAAAATGGAGTATAAGTAGTGAGCGTTCCTTAAGCGCTAAATATATGTAGAGTATAAATTACTCTAAAGCGTTAAGTCATGTTCAGTCAATTAACTAGTGACAAAAAAGAAAATATTTAACAAAGCTTTTGGAAAAGCATTTTACTAAGAGATTAGTATAACTCATTTTTTAACAGTAACGTTAATTGTAAATTTGTAAGATAAAATTTAATGAAAGGTATAATAAATAAATAATTATTATTAAATTTTTTGAATTTTAAAAACTACCAAATTAACAAATTTTAACAATTTAATAAATAATAAATTAAATTATAATTCTTTTATAATTAAATAATTATAAAATTGTATTATTATATTATATTATTTGTTTTTACTTTCGCTATAATTATTTAATGACTTGTAGCTAGTAAAAATGTAGCTATAGAATTTGGAATGGATTAGAAATATTTCGCTTGCGTAACATGACATTACCTTTGAAGTTTGCAAATACTTTCACAAATTATATTGTACACAAATGTTTTCACTTAATTATGTGTATAATAATTTTATTTAAAATTTAATTATAAAATAACAAAATTTAATTGTATTAAAATAATCTAACCACGTAATACATTCGTATGTTACTTGACTTAATGTAAAAATTTTGAGCAAAATATATTTTTTCTTCGATGATGAAAAAATTCTAGTAGTACATTCATACATATATATAATTTAATTAAACAAGACTCGACTAAATATTTGTTATTTACACATTTCGAATTGAAATTAAATAACGCGGAAATATTCGGGATTTCCGTGTTTATCTTTCAAAATATCAAAATATAAAGACTATGCAACTGTACATAACTGTACGATACATCACGATCGATTATTTTGCTTTATTTTATTTGCGGATTACTAACTTTAAAAATGTGTTCTAAATTTTTTTGAAAACATTGACTTGGTTTGATATTTAAATATTTATATATAAATATTAATAATTTTATTTTAAAAAGTCTATATTTATTTATGATAAAATTTTCAATTAATAATTAGATTCAATTTTTTTTTACAAAATTATACAATATACATTATTTTTAATTTTTCTTTATAAATGAGAGGTATTATTTGTAGCCAAGTTAATAGGAGGAATTATATTTTAATTACTAAACGGAGTACAACATAAAGTTCCATTATTTTTCAAAAAACATAAGAAACAGAGATTTCGTATATCTCCAGTAAAATTTTCAATTATTTTATTACTTACTCTCTCTCTCTTTTTTCTAAAGAAAAGAACGTAAGAGATTTCTCTAAAATAATTGCACATGAAAACGCGCGTCACTAGCATTAGTTGTCCTACTATTCCACTCAATGGTTCGCTTGAAAATTCACAGAACGTACGTACGGCATTAATATAGTTGTAGAGTGATAAACCGTCGTCCCACGGTTCCTCTTTCTCACAGGACAGATTTGCTGGTCTTAAATCGTGACTACGGTCCAGAGCTGCCAAACCGTGCGCGAAAACCTGCACGCTATCGTACACCAAAGCTGGTTCTGCCTGAAACATACGTTTCCTTTTGACGAGAGTTTGTGCTTTGTCTATTGTACAAAAAAACTTCAGCTTTAACTTTAGAACTGTTACACGGACAAAACTTTTGCCAGCACCTACTAATGCAAATATAGATCGAGCTAAATTGTGATTAAATTTTAATGAGATTCGTTTTTAATTCTGTAGCTTAATGATTGGTCGATTATTATTCATACTTGTTGGAAATTAAAAGTTCTATTTCATTTTACATTCAAAGTTCGTTCTTGTAAGACAGAATATTAAATGTATTCGATATGAAACATTGATCTTATACTTAAAATCAATTACATAAAAATTTGCTTCTTGTAATTATAATTTAAAATTATAAATTGATATGTCTTCAATTTAATAATTGTTGAATTTAAAATTTGGTAAGATTTTGAGAAAGTATTAGTGAAAAAGAACTTGAAAAGGAACGAATTTAAATATATCGATCGTCTTAATATATTAATATGTTAAGGAGGGAATTTTGGAAAGTAAATTCTGAGAGGTAAACTTAGCTATTTCAGCAGATGGGGTGGCCGTCTTCGAAGTCCTTGAGAGAAAACCGTGCTTAGTGCACTCAATTGATCCGAATTAATGACATTGCGGTGTTGGCCGCGGGCGAAACTCACTTAATTACTGAAGGGCTGACAAAGCTCGAACTGGACAGAGCTCTGCTGACCAATTCGGTCTATTCGACTTTTCAATTCTCTCTGCTTTTAGTCTATATTTGTTCGAACCTAGCTTGTATCATGTAGATTTATATACCATTTTGTAATCGTGTAATTAATTGTTATTTTCTTAACCTTAAAATTATGTTCTTAAATAAAATTTTGTATCACTCATTGAATTTGAAGTTTGTCATTTTAAATTTTAATTTTTTAAAATAATGTATATTTATGTTATATTGGAGAGAATAGTGTTTCGTACATCATTTTAAGCGCACGAATAAGTTTAAAACTAAACTTATTTTATAAAAATATGCAACACGCGCTGTATTTTAACAATGAGATAGTGAAGAAAGCATTAATAATCTGTTACATCGAAATTTCCACCAACCTGAATGACTCCCGTTTTGTTTAAAATGGCATGTCCAATCGCTGGTTGGAAACGTTCCATCTGCTTGAGTACTTCAGCAACTTTGGGCTCTTCGAGATCCACCAAGCGAAAGGCCGTCATGTTCACGCTATTATATTTGAAATCTTCTAGATCAAACGTTTCTATATCCTGTAAAAACAAATGTAGAGAAAAAGATTTGTTTATTTCATCTACTGTATATTCGTAATTAATTTTAATATATTTTATAACATCTTTATATTTTAATACTATCTAAATCTTTTACAATATATAAATTGTGTTAATGCATAATAAAATTCAATAAACACAGGGTTAATTATGTTAAATATTATTAAATTAATAATACATTTAATTTTAATGTAATAGTTTCTATTAATTAGATTAATAAGCGATAGGTATTTTATAACAGTTAAATTTTAGTCTTCTCTAAAGTATATATTGAACACTGTCAGTTATATTCTACAAGTAATATTCTATAAAAATTGTAAAAAAGAAATTTCCTATTTAATCTAGGTCAATCTAACTTCTCTACAAATACATAAAGCTATCAATTTATTCACCATCTTCAAATGATAAGGAATTCAACCGCCTCGGACATGAGGTATTTAAGAAAATGTAACTGGGGTAAGATTTTTCCCGCTCGAGGCGTAGTTACAGGGTAAGTCGACTAAATTGAAGAAAAATGAGGCAGTTCCAGCGATTTCCGTCATCGTCGTAATTGCAATCGTTATAGCGTAACCAATCTCAACCAGTCTCGCCTAGGAAGCCCTCGAGAGGGTATGATTTATAATTATACGGTGCTACAGCGTTCACGACGTAGATCGTTAAAGTAAATAACGCGACTTCTCTATAAGGTCATTCACCGACAACTTACGTAGCTGCATAACAAAGTCGATCGTAGCAGATAACGTTTCGTTTCCGTTCTTAAGCGGTTTCTTTTTTGTACCTTTCATTATTGCCTATTACTCTTTTCTTTAATTCCGTCACTTCGCTGTGTATCGGGGATTGAAAAGTTATTTTTTTTTTAAATAACTAATTACCGTTTCTCGTTACCCCAAGTTAAGACAAAAAACTAATTAATGTTACTGTTACTTAAAAAATAATGATTCGTTATGTTTCCGTTACCGTTTTAATGTTGAGATCTTAAGATTAAGTTGAGATTTTAAGATCTGTCTAAAAAATTTGGCAATATTTTTTGTTTAAGCGTTAATAAAAGCAGTAAACAACAATGAATTAGATTGATATGTGAAAACACAACTAAAAATATGAAAATGTCCGAGAAATTTTTCAGTCCGAGAAATTCGTGCATAATAATATTTCAAAGTGAATTTATATGCATATCTATGAACTGATTAAATTTTAATCTTGAAACGCAAATCGGTTGAGGTTACCCGAGTTCACAAGTTGATTTTTAGGACTTTTAGATTTGATATCTACTAGACTTTTTATTAATCTTTGAGAAAAAATCGACACGTTATCGATACAATCTGGAGACACGGTAGTGTCTCGGCGCTAAGCCAAGCGCAGCGACACTGCCGTGCCTCCTTTACGCGAATCTGAGAATTTCGGGGGATTGAGATTGATAAAACGTCGATCTCCTCGATGCAGGTCAATCTTTGAAGATTAATAGAAAATATAGTCAATATCAAGTTGAAACGTCCAAAAAATCAATCAATACCGATTTTGGCGATTTTATTTCGACTTATAAATCAGAGTAATATTTTCCACAATAAATTTTTTAGCACGTGGCATCACTTTGGTCAAACTTAAAGATTAATATTGATAAAGTTTGTTTTCAGGCATTCATAAACGAATCATGGAGCTGTACTAATATTTTAAATTACTTAAACTCTGGTCTTGATGTAAGAACGAATTATAAATATCGGCCAAAGATTTTAGATTAAATATACAAAAATTATTTATGCCATAAATAGGTTTGAAATGTAAAAAGTAATGATAAAAATTATTGTAAAATTTGTTGTTAACGTTAAAAAAAAATGTAAATATACTACCGTTACAGTTACTAAAAAATGAAGTAACACCATTACTAGTCTGCTACCAAGAAAATAACTGTAATGGTAATGGCGTACCGAGTTACTTTTAATCTCAGGTAGCCAATCTACCTTCTTGAATCACGGTATTACCGTTTACTACCGGGAGAAAGTTACGTAACATCCTCTGAAAATGATTTATTTAGAAACGCGCGGATGTACTCACTCCTTGTATGAGTCTAACGGGAGATTCGCATCCCAGGAGTACATTAAACCTTTTTGCGAGATTGCAAGCAGAGCAGTGGATACTCGTATTTACGGAATCATTAGATCATAACGAAGCATACTTTTTATTTCACATTACATTAATTGATTATTAGAATATTTTTTTAAATCAAAATTTTGAATTTAACATGATTTTATCGAGCTCAGATTTTGATGTTATATAGAATTTTGACGCTATAATTATATTATAATTACTTTACACATTAATACTATTCTATCATTGTTCTAGCACTTGTATAGCGCATTGTTTCGTGCTGCATTTAGCTTAAACTGCCTGCAATTTTAATGAAATTGATTAACTCGTTCATGAATTGCTATCAAGTGTAGATTATTATTTGTTTTAAGATGAGTAATTATTATACTATATGTGTGTATATGTGTGTGTATTCCTACAATACAAATATTATATATAAAATATACCATTTTTATTACTAGATTGGTTATAGGATTTCTATAATATAAAGGCAATTGTTTTAATCAATAATTATTCGCAAGAAATTAACTTCACGAAGCGCAAATAACTCTACTGCTACTGCAATATTGTTTCATTATTAAATATATACGTATGTACATATATATCTTCTAACAAACATATATATATATATATATTATATCTCATATTGTTGCCTAATAGAATATAGTACAATCGATATTTGATCAATGATAAACGCATTCATGATATGAGTTTCCGTACTGTAATTATCTTGTTGCTAATATATACATCGATCTCTGACTAATAAACTAACTAAATGCCGGAATGTACAGTTGTATCAACAGCAATGTTTTGTTGCTCATCTCTCCCCTCCCTCCTGTATCTGCATTTATTAGTAGTACGAATTAGCTCCCCGTTTCCTGCAATTAAGGATTGATTAATGGAAGCCTGTTAAATCGAATGTATTACCAAAATCATTTTATGATGTAACCGTCACGATCTGATACGTTATTATTATTAATTAATCTTGACATATTTGCGGAAAAAATTGCGGTATCGAATTGCGATTCGGTTTCGTGTCACTGGCCTGTCGTTGCGAGCTGCAAAATTCGAAGAGGACATTTGCGAGAGAGACATGTTGCGCGTATATGCATACACGGAATACGTGTCTATACATATACGAGTGCAAATGCATCAAGTAAGAACATAGAGTTCTCTGTCCTTCAGCGAATGTAGGTACATAGTCTGTAGCTTGTACGTTACAACTTTGACTAGCCGTGGGGTTTGTATGCGCCATTAGCCCCATTTAAGATAGAAATTTGCGCTGAATGAGACGACGGATTGGAATTTTGGTTGTGCGACTCGAAAGGTAGGAAGGATGATATGTCAAAGAAGAGAATATACACACACACTGACCGAGAGGAGAGAAATGCGCGACGACATGAGCTTTCTGTGATCACGTCAGGGGAATACCTGATATATGCGTTGCCTCGTCATCCGTGGGAGGTCTAATTCCTATCATCGCTATGTTCTCGGACTAGTATGAGATAATACACATAATAAGCTGCACGGAATGTACAAAGAGAAGTGGGATCGACAGGAGCGCGAAATATGCCGGTTATGAAGATGATGAATAGTACACTACAAAATAGGAGAGCCTCGTCTACAAGTTCCCATATGCTTCTGAAAGAGTACTTTTCATTTTTTAGACAATATTATGCGATATTGCGTGCCTGATAAATGTTGAGTCAAATAAATCTTCATGTACGAGTGCCATTATGTTTATTCATGATCAATGAGCTGTTCAATAATTTTATAGTAATACACTTAATTAAATTTGATGCTCTATTATATAATCGATAGATGTGCAAGATTTATTAATTACCTATTAAAATACATTAATGCAATATTTAAACGTAGATTGAATTGAGTTTCGAACCAAAATGTAATTCTGATTGTAATTGCATTAACATGAGGATATTGTTGAAAATGAAATTAATTATATCAAGGAAGAAGAATCATTCTTTTTTATATTACAATTTTATTAAAGACGTTAATAATATTTTAGAGCGAAATAGAATAATCTTACAAGTGGAAATATTGGACCGATAAAAATAAATCAATTAAGAGAAAGAATCTGGTTTCGTCGGTCGAAGCGAATATATGTTTAATAATATTAATATGCAAATTTAGGAACACATATTTTCTTCAGTTCTATAAACTGCGCGCCGATTGCGATCGAACACAATCATAAATTAAAGTTAGAAATAACATCATATATTGGTCGTTAACTTTAATAATGATGCTATATGATGATAAGCATCTTTAGATATTGCAAAGAACATATGTATTGCGAAAAATATTGCTAAACAAGAGTTTAAACTTATTAAAGCTGGAACTCCTTAGTGTCCGGAGTATTTTAGTCGAAAATAGGATCTTTTTTTATAAAAATAATCTTAACGTTGTTAGAAAATTTTGACTTAACCAAGGATATTACGTACACAAGCTTAATCTATGAATAGTTTTAATATGCACAGTTTAAATATTTTCTCTCTTTTTGTCTTTTACGAAAGTAAATACGCAGATGTACTTACAAAGGTTGTGAACATGTAGTGGTATCTGTAGTCATTCATTTGCAGTTGCAGTATCTGTAAGAAATTAAAAACAGAATTAAATTTAAGGGATCTCACAATTAATATAAATTGCATTTTATCATGCCATAAATATATGTTACGATTTCATTAAAAGTAAAGTTATATTGCCATATTTTATTCCTGATACTGTTTTATAGTATCAATATTTTGACAATGTGGTTTTATGATGGCGTTTTAGGTACAGATATGCACACACATGCTTTATGTATACATTCCATGCTATCCATATATATTGCAGTACGAACATTTGCACAACAAATATTATATTGCATATTGTCATTTTGCTACACAAGTATATTGATATTGCACTCTTTGTAGTTCGATATAATTCGTCGTTTTTCATTTTCCGTGGTAAGGCCATATGTATAAATCGATCGAGCTGAGATGGAAGCGAGTCAGATAAAAGAGGTCTTACGCGGATCTTCCCGTGGAAAAACCTCTTCGTGGAAAGGTAAAGCGGATGCGACGAAACGGGCGTGCGAGGTTAAAAGGATATACGAGACCCGGTGCATGAAAGCATGGACGTTTTTTGATTACTCGGCCAGTCGAGGGTTATCCTTGGAAATTCCCGAAGGACGTAGCATGCAAATAACGGGCTTGCTTCGACCGCATCTGAAGCAAGATTGCTTTCCGGAGTGCCGCTGACTAGGTTGTGGAAACGAACAAAATCTAATCCCTCTTGCTTCCAATGTATTTACAGTCTTAATCTTTAAATTGCGAACAAGTTTTTTTCCTGGATTCAAATATTTTTCTATAATTGTTTTACTTGCTATTTTATATTTGTCTACAATTGTGATAATCTCGTAATTGCCTTTTTATTTATAGCAAAATTTTCTACCGTATACGTATAAAATTATACTTGTTTATTTTATACACTTTGCTGATAATTTTAATTATATAAATACTATTTAATTTATTGCAGCAAATTTTAATACTCTGTTCTTTTTATTTATATCAACAATATTTACACGAGGACTGCATATATATAATTGTATTACATACATTATGCAAGTCCAATCGGATGTAATTTTATTTTGTATTTATGTTACACAATTCATCGTAAATTAAACACTGAATAATTTATGTGCTGTCGTCCTATGTTTATTATGTACATAAATTATGGCAGGCCGCGATTTTTCTCACGATACTGATTGTCCTAAGGTATAATGAACAAATTTTATCGTTTTTAGCAATGTGTTATCTTCATAACTGAGAAACGAGTCGATAACGTGTGTTTCAATAGTGAACAATCGAGGCGTGTATTTCCGGCACGTTGATCACTCGCCCGATTATGCAAATTTTTCTATTTGTCGGCCACGCACGCAGCAGCATTTCCAAAGGTGTCGGGAAAAACATCGAGTGCTTTTATCATTTCAAGCGAGCGTGAAAATGGCATACGATTTTCATGAATTATTTTCACCTTGTTTCGTTACCACTAACAATTCGTGCGATTTAATTTCACGATTTGCCGAATTGCGTCATGCGTTTGCAAATAGGTGGTTAAATATTACGAAGCCGTTGTCATCGTGAGTGCCCACGAACATAATGATCTATATAACTCAAAAAATTATTATAACGTTGAACATATAAAACGTATAAATAATAAATAAACTGTACAATATAAAATATAACATAAAGAGACATTAAATACGTTTCAAAAACTTCTGCACTTTATAAGAATAAATTGATATTTATTATTTATTATTTTCTCAAAGAGAAGCATTTAAAATCAATTTATTAAATATTTCAATGATCTATTAGATATTTTCATGATATCGTTAATTTGTGTTAATTGTCGCCGTTATGAGGAATATGTCCTACATAATACAAATATTGCTAAAAAAATTTCTAAAAGTCGATTTCGTATTTTATTATAAATATAATCCTCGACGTATATAATTCAAATACAAGAGATCTTTAACATAAATTTACTCTACTTTGCAATCTACGTGTATTGTATATCTCTTGAGGATACGTTTTAAGAACATTTTTTGGACACTGCATTTTCATTTCGAAAACTAGAAGGCAACAAGAAGTTGGTTTGGAAGGAAAAACTGTAATGCGCAGTCGCCATTAATCCCTATTGCAAAAGTCTTTTTAATCTCCGAGCAACCGAGTCCCTTTGCATGATTCTAGAAAGTTATTTATGAGCTGCGATGCGCCCCGTGTACAGATTTCTGCTTGTTTTCTATTTTTCTTTCATTTTACATCCAGTAAACAACATGTTTTCCGTGTATACGACCGCCATAAGCTGTATTTTTTACACATTTTATTTTCACGGTGATTCTAACGATTCTATCGATATCTAGGGATTCGAATAGGTATTAAACTAAAACGTCTCGAGGAGAAAGAACAACTATTTTCACAATCACATGTGCATCATATTATTCAGATTTGGATACATTGATCGTCAATTTTCGACGCAAATTTCTTCTTCGTTTTTTTTTTTCAAATAGGTACTAATAATTCTGAAGAGAACATCTTTCGCGGATAGAATTCTAACATTTCTTCTTTTGTGAAATAAGTCCGAAGGAGAAAAATTTGTTATTATAGTATGCATTAGTTTTGTTTATTTCAGATGCACTTTCGTATTTATAACAAGTTCAAGTTTTGCAAGGAAAAAGGAAACTAACAAAATGTAGGAAGACATACAAAATAAATGTATTTATAAAATAAGTTGTGACTGTAGTGACATAAATCTAGTAGAGATTTTATATTTGAATGATTTAGGTTTGCACTGCAGTGTCTGCAACTCTTTTATAACACTTCATATTTTATTGAAAAAATATGTGGTATGTATCTGAATAAAGCAACTTGTCAGATTTATCATGCGAGAGATTAACTGTGCGTGAAAAAATATAGTGGATGGGACATACATATGGAAGGAGAAGATATGTTCATATTTCAGTCTTTGAAATGTAATTTTAACACGATGAAAGAAAACGATAAATGTACAATATAAATGGAGATTGTGGAACCTTTTGAGGTGCATGAACGATATCGATATTTAAACATTCAGATTTTGTGAAATGATGTCAAATATCGAATCGTTTAAAACTCACCGCTCGGAAGAATTTCTGCATGTGTACCGGATCTGTGTCAACAATCAGCTTGAAGATCTCTTTGTGTCTAACCTCCCGCAGGACCTGCCTGTAGGATGCAGGGCTCGCCTGACGAATGTACATTTCAGTTCTCACGGATGGCGGGGATTTTACGAGATCCTGCAGTTTGAACAGCCCTGCAAAAACAGAAGAGAGGTATTTTTTCGTAGCAAATTGGTCCTCGGCGCAATGCCAAGTTTCATCATTGCGCGTGCTTGTTATTTCTTTTAATCCTTTCCTTTATGGAATATTTAAAGTTACGTCACGTCAACAATATTTCAAATTGATTGACGTTGCTTATTGCGCGGTTATATAATAAATATTTATTTATGAACTAAAATGATACATCTTGTCAGTTTTATATCATGTATTGAATAGTACGAAAGTACTTTTTCAAGAGTTGGGACATTTTTCAACTGGTATGCCGCGGCTGGTTAACCGCAAATAGTTTCCAAATATATTGTGAAAATTTTAGAGAAGATAAAAAAAGTAAAAGAATTAAAATTTAGAAATAAGTAAAAAAGTAAGAATCGAAGTATTAAGTATTTTAAAAATTGAGACAATTATATAAATTATATTCTGTTTACTCTTATTTTAACTACAATAATATCTCTCGTTAGTGCAATAAAATTACATAAAGTTTAAAACAATCAAATAAAAAATAATAACATTAGAATTTTACTGTGCATTACTGAATGTCATATTGATATCTGATAAAATATTTCTCATTCAATCAACATTTTTATTCTTTTTTTGTTGTTAATTATTTTAATAGTAATGGAAATAGCAGATATATCCTCAAATTATATTATTAGCGAGAATGAATAAAACCATGCAAAACAATGGTATCATAAATATTCGAGAATATTCTCTTCGAAAAGCGTAATATATGAAATAACCAATTTTCTGGAATGATAATGGAAGTCTTCCACAATTCTCCACTCATACATTGTAATTTAACCAACATCTATTATATGTTCTTATGGAAATGATACGTGTTATTTTTACGTATATGTAGATATGAGTTCAAACATAATGTAAGAATAATGGATTTTTTGTATGACGGAAATGAACGAGTTGATAAAATACTCATCGTTTGCCGTCTGTGGCAAAAGAATGGTGTGGGGATAGAAAGTTGTTAATTTGATTTATAGAGAGAGATTTGCGATTAAACTATCAAGACCGTGACTTTGATAGCAAACTTTTTATAACTACTTTTATAGCGTTAAGAGGGTTTACGAAGATGTAGCTAAAAAGGTATCACGACTTTTACAATTTACTTCCATCCAATTGTTCCTCGACTACTTTTTAAGTTGCACTGTCGATTCAAGATTTTTGTCGCGTGCATGAAATCCATTACGTACGTATACGTTTACGTTCGCTCGTGTTTCATTCTTCGCATCAATCTTATCGACATTATTACATTTGATTCTTATCTTTTTCCTTGTTTTAATTAAGACAAAATAATAGGGAAAATTAATCAGTGATATATAATAATATTTGAATAATTTAACTGATAAAATACCTTATAATAATTTATGGCTTGATATAAGAAAAAAATTAATGTAGAATAAATGAGAAAATATTATTGTTAATTTATCCTTAATGTATTCAGCACATTAGACGCTTTCAATTTTCAAGCGGCAAGTTTTCTCTGGACTTTACTTAAGGATACAAATCCGATAAAGTCGCAAGGTCTTTGGTGCAATCCTACTTTTCCGTATTTCTGAAAGAGACTTCTTGGACATCCAGATAGGTGCCTCCAACTTTGAGCTTGCTAATTACTCCCCCGTAATGATCGTGACGAATAGAGCAACGCAAGAAGAGGATCGATAAACAGCTAAAGGACGGCGAAAGAGAAGTAGAAGAAGATAAATTTTCTGGCGCGTTAACGAGCGTAGCTCGCAGGGAGAGCTGGCACTTTCCGCAAAATGTAAAAATGAAAAATGGTAAACTTCACTTTCGGAACAAATCGAGCAATTACGGCCGCTTGCATACTTCTCCGCTTGTACACAAGATGCTTTTAGACTCAAGAACTTAATTTCACTGACAGTTTTTTTGATTAAGTTGGCGTTGTTTTCCCATGTCGAACCAGATTCTCTGACAATTTTCTCACACTAATAACTTGTTTATTATAAGCGATTGAAAGTAAAGTGAATTTTACAAGACTCTTGAAATGTAGTAAATAACTTCATAACAAGTTTATTAAATAACATAATTATATTTATGTGTATTTACATCAAGTTCATTAAGGTAAATTTATGTAAACAACTTAGAGTGAGGGAATGGAAATATCTCAGATAATAAAGGATTGTAATGAAGATGAAGGTTTTCCTAGAGTATTTTATGTATAAAGGGCTACGACGAGCATCATATCCGACCAAGAAACGCGTGAAAGGGAAAGTAGGAAAATTGCGCAGGGTAGTCTGGTTTACAAAATTAACTCAGTAGATAGCAGTAGCCTGTACACAATGTTATATCTGGAAATTTATGAAGGTATCGTACGATACAGAGGGAAACAATTCAGGAAAAATGTACACTTAGTTTTGCGTTCTCTCATCTTATCATTTTGACGATAACGTTTATGTGCGAGATCTCTTGACCTCGTTGAAGTAATAGATACACGACCAATGCAGATAGTGTAAAATACTCATTTCTGTGTAAATTCTTAAACGTTACCGTGAACAATATAATTTTATCGCATGTATTTGCATTACTATTAAAAAACTCAAATCTATAAAATTTTAAATGCTCAGAGAATATATAAAAACTTTTAATAATCAAATTCGATTATCAAAATCAAATAAATCCGTAAAAGATCTAATCCGTTTGAGAACCAATTTTCGAAAAATTCTGTCAAAGATTTAAGAATTTTTTTTATGACGAGTAGTGCCAATAAATTTAAGAATTTATGGTAATTTATCAGACTTTTAAATTTTGTTTAGGAAACAGTGAGGCAAGTCTAAGTGAGTACTCAACTGTGTGCATTGTTTATTCGACAAAAGTGACAATTAATTAATATTCAATACTAAAAACCGCTAATATGAGAACATAATCAATACAAATACTAAGCCTATAACAGTCTAGCTTGGATCTTTTTATCGCTTACATATAAACTACCGCGGTACTGTCACGAATTAAATTAAATTAATAAATAACTAATATACGTAGTCCCCCCAAATTGCGCGTCGAACAATCGTTGATCTTGAAACGCAACTCTAATAATCTCAAAATACTAAATCTGGAAAATTATTCTTATTGCGAAAAATATTACCTCAGTCGGAAGTCGAACTCTGATACCTTACTTTACGCGCAAGTGTCCTAGCCAATTAGACTACCGAGGCAATGATAATAAATTATTCGAAAATATTATAAAAGTAACTTTAATATAGTTTTGCACATCGCACTATTGCATATGTATTTCTGCCTCGAAATCACGCACGTCCCGTTTGTTGGCTCGAGCGTCTCGTCGTCACGTTAAACCATTCATTATTTTACGCCGAAAAACGAAACTTTTCATACTCGATAAAGTTTTAACGAACTGTGAAACTAGGCATTTCTCCTATGGCTATGAATAACTAAACGACAACGAGTAACGCAGGGGGCTTGCCAAATTTGCAAAGTGCTCGAGAGGTTTATTCAAAATTTCACGGGTATTCTCATTATACTTGAAGCTCGCTAATTAAACTTATTAAACTACAATTATCGTTTAAAAATTTACAAATTACCACATCCACTGAAACTGCAGGTCGTATCATTCCCGATTGACGTCGACTGCTTAATATTTAACGGCGTTTAAGTGAGCGACTGTCTTTGCATGTTGAAGTTTTAACGAACTCGTGAGACGCGGATTTTCTCGACTGATGAATATTTAGGTGATACCGGGTCGCGGGAATGTTACATTTCTTCTAGTCGAGTCGCTTTTAACGCGTATCGCTTTTATGACGAGAAATTTTGAAACGCTTTGTCTTATCCCCTTGTCATGGATTTATGGTGGGCTATAGACATCAAGGGACTTGTACAAAAAGCGCGTTCTTTCCGTTTCCTCTCCTTTTATCGCTAACGGCAACGTCCTACTTCGTGCTCCTGTTATACGCCAAGTTACATCGTCCAATCAAGAGTGGCAATTTAAGGAAGATAAGGTCGGAGACCTCCCACTTTTTCCTTCGCAAGAACTATAAGCAGAAGGGCTCGTTTCGTAAATGTATATGCCGTAGATTTGTGATATCCCAGCATTAGCTCTTAAAATATTAAGAATAGAGAATAAAATGTTGGCATTTTCTAAATTGTTTCTTTTGATACATACATGGACAATGACATCAAATTTATTTAGGTACTTGAATTTATATGTTATGTATCAAATAACCATAGATTTTGTATACTTATGTAGATTTTGTTATAAATTTTATCTCTATATAGTTTTATCTTATTATACCCTTATTCTTAATACGCACGATTGGATCTCATTCGCGTCCTGCATATTTCTTTCTTTCAGGAAAGGAACAGCAAATAATTAGAGTTATAACATTTATATACAGTTTAAAAAAATGTACGACCTTATTAAAGTTATTTACTTTCTAAAGTTATTAAAATATATGCAAGAATTACTTAATAATTTTTGTGTATTTATTCAATCGATGAAAATTAATCCGGAATACGAATGACTCGATCATGTAGTAAAGGACCGGAAAATTATCGTATACATTAATGATTATTAGAGAATTCGATTGAACGCACTCGGTGCGCATTGATGCATATTAAAGCTGTCCTACAAACGCAAAAATGTGTATTTAATATAATTATAAAAACTGGTTAAACTGTGAAATTTTTAATACATTTTATCGTGCCGTTAAATAAAATATGTATTTTATAATTAAAATTTTTTTTATTTTTACACTCAGATAAATTAATGTATATCTGGAGCTTCAGTATGTATACCAGTGTGCATTAATGCGTCCAACCGAATTTATTATAAGATCTATGGCTTGAACAATAACAATGAAACAAACAGTGACTTTTAGGAAATGCCAAATCAATAAGTTGCGTAAATGGAAGAAATTCCCCTTCCGATTTTCAAATTCTGATAATACGTAATGCTTTATAAATAATTACTTTACCATGACGATTGCGGTTTTTCCATCGAAGGAAAATAAATGTAAATGCTACTTTCCGGATAGACGGATATGGATAAAAGAAATGCAAGTGAATTCATACATTTTCCCTGTATGGACGGTGATAGTTAAAATATACTAATGCGATTCGGAAAGAATGGAGATGACAGGTGACTTTGGCGTATGGATATTATGCGTCAACATCGCGTTGGAATTTCGATGAGTCGCCGCGAATGGTGCCAGCCCGTCGCGGAATGGAAATATAGGCGCCAAGAGGAGCCGCGACCAGGGGGTTAAGTTGACGGCAAAAAGTGGCGAGGGAGCGACAGAGAGTAATCTCGTGAGCGGTCGTCGCGAGTTTACGTCGTCGTATGTAAACGCGTGCGTTACTTTTGCGTGCGAGTGACAGGCCGACATTTTGGCCGGTAGCGGGATTCCACTTCCGCCGCCTGATTCCGACGTTCTATTTGCATAGAGACGCATCGCCGACATTGCAGAGAAACCAAAAATAAAATGGAATAAAATGAAATAAAATGAAATAAAACGCATCTGCGTAATGAACGCGTCGACGCGACGCGACGGTGCTAACGAGATCGTCTCTTCCGTATATCCATGGAGTAGTTTCCACGTCGTTGTTATATGTATACCAAGTCCGCTGGTCGCGGTAAAATGAGTTCCATGCGGTCCGGAAATCTTTTTAACTTGAATGTCGTGTGTAGCATTGTTCGCATGTTCGTGCTTACGGTCCATCGCATACCGCGTTCCATTAGAACCATTCTTACCGTTCTATACTCAGAGAAATACGTACTGATTTAATCCCGCAATGTTCAAGTTGATTACTGCGCGATATATGTATAAAAAATTAATATTACGTTGAAAATAAGATTAAAAATATAGATATTAATGTTTATAAGATATATACTCTTATAAAAATATTCTTGCTGACGAGATACATCGAACATACATATAGCACGAGTTTGTGTGGTTTCCAAGGATTACTGCGACAATTTTATTGTTCTTCACTTACCATAATCTTCTTCATAGATGATAGCCACTCTAGTCCAATTTAGAAAGGAAATAAGGTCCTTGAATGCTTTGTTAAGATGGTCTTGTGCGGGATATAAGTTAATGCTGAACTCTTTGAAAGTAGGCTCGAAATCGATCCTCGCTTCAAGATGAGGAACGTCCAATGCTTCACATATACTTTGTATATGAGCACCTAAAAGTGGGTCAGACGGTCCGAAGATGCCTTGTACCGATCTGGATAATTGCTTGCAGGCTGCAATAAAAATTAAACGACTTTTGAGCTATTTAACACCAACATTTGTAACTGACATATTTTTACTATTTATATATATCTACAAATTTTACTCATAAAAATTCAGTTGTGTTTAGAACTTGAAAAAAGCATCTTGATCGATTTTATAAAATGTAATATTATAAACGTATTTAAAAGCATATTTTTCTTGTATATGTATTTAGAAATTTACCAATAAATGAAAAGTATTTCACTGGGATATTAAAAATAAATACTACAATATAGTACTGTAAAATGAGCGAGAAAGATGTCAATGGGAGCACGAGGGCGTGCTAAAACGGAGATTGGAGAATGGAGACTGGCTCTGACATATCAATTTCATATTTCTAGATGAAGCGTACTTGGAAGTTCTGTATCAGCGAAAGCTGCAGTAAATTAACGACAGACTCTTTTGATCCTTGCTACTGTTCTTCCATAATCTTGCATAATATTGTAGACTACTATTACAAAACAGTTTTGGAATTTTGAAACTTTAATGGAATTTTGAAAGAGTCAATAATAAACTCTAAAACGTTCACTTTATTGAATTCAATAAAAATGACAATGAAAAAATTTAATAATTTGCAAAATAAGAGACTTTAAATAATGCAAAAGAATAAAAATATAACAAATTGGATTTTTATAAATTGTAAAGAACTTTTTTTTAATGAGTTTTACTTTTCAGGTAATTTTAATTATGTTGTAAAATATAATGTAACTATGTGTGTGTTGTTTTGAAATGAGAATTGTTTTCTTACCTCGTTTGTTTTTTGATTGCACAATTTATTAATTTTCTACCTTTGTTTGAAACTCGATTGTTAAATTTATTAATTTATAATTATAAATAAACGGTAGTTTTGATTGAGGTAATCGACTGAGAAAGAACACACACAATAGATAGGTTGCCCGTAACAAATCGATATAATAACTTGTTATAAACTTACATCACATGCGTTTATATATATATATTTATTTAAAAAAACTAATATACCTTAATGTGAAAATGGATTAATGAAACCGGTTGAAAAGCTGAATGCAGAAACATAATTGAATAATACGGTTGAAATGTAATATAATAATAGTCAACATGTGATATTGGATAATTTTATCGGAAATAAATGTATAAAATATATGTTTTGCGATTTTCCGATGTACGCGTTCTCCAGTGAGCGCAGGGAATTGATGTATTATTTTAACGGCTCAATTTTCTTCTTATGTTGTTCTTGAAGGCAAAGCCCTTCAGACTATATAGCTTTTTATTTTTCTTTTTACATTGCAAATTATTCATGTCATGCTTGTAACAGAGAATTGGATTGAAGGATGGATAAATTTGATTTTGGTAGTATTACTACTATTTCTGAGAATTCTCGCTGGCTAAGTTTTATCGCTATCTTGAATTATTCACGTTTCTTTATTTCCATTATGAAAATTATGGTCCGCGGCTATATTGAATTTTACATATGTTGTATTACGTACCTAGTAGCGTTTGTTCTCACAAAATTAACTTTTTCATTCGTGCATTTGTTTACTAAATTATTTATTACTCAAGGATATTTTTGATTATAATATCATATATTTTATTTAAAATGTGATTTTAATTTATTATTAAAAATATCTAATTAATTTGGATAATAATTTAATCAAAGAGAATGTATAGTTCAAGGAAATAAAATAGAATGAGAAATACTTCTTATACAGCAACAGCGCTAAAATGTTCAAATAAAATAAATTCGTGATTTCCTTTGGTAAAAGAAAGAAGATTCATGGTTTCCTTTGTTGAAAGAATCCAGTATAACTGTAATGAAATACTTTGAAAAGAGTACTAACGATTTTGATTAAATATATATATTCTTACTGAAGTGATAAGTGACTAGTTGTTCTCTTATATAGAAAAGGTTATCGCAGCATTATTGTTTAGAGATACATTCATATAATAATTTTATATAATTTACTTTTGCGACCTATTTCGAATTTTATTAATTTGCTTTTGATAGGAAGCTCATTTGAAGCGATTTAGCGATTACTCGGTAGTAAAGAATATTACTTCCTGTGTGCTAGCTTAGCTTGAAACTTCCTCTAATTTGTTTCTTTATAATCCTTTATAATATCTTTGTACACTTGTTTGTCCGATTAAATTGTCCATATAGTAAAAAATGTTTTCTATTATTTTAAAACTATTGTTTATTAAAATTTTTCTGTTTTTAATGTGATTATTTGGATATTTTTTTTTATTATTTTAACACTAAGAATCGTTAATTAATATTTAACGGTTAATTATGAAAAAAGATAATGCAATTTTGAAACGTAAATTTGAAAAGAAATAAATTTACATATTAATTTAACAAATATCAATTTTATTGAAGAAATATATTCTTACAATTAGTTTTTAAATTGTATCAAAATGTAACATTTTTTATAATTTTATATTAATTTTTAAATAATATTATATTTGTATTATACTTTTTAACATTATCTGTGTTAGATTAACACAAAAATTCTGGTTGCACACTTGAAGTATGTTAAATTTAACATTTTCTAACTGTACAGATTTGTAAGAAAGCGCAAATATATAACGCATCATTTTTTGAAATGCACATTTCATTGTTATGAAATTTCTCATTACGCTATTTTATTGTTGATTAAGTCGAACCGAAGTAAATAAAAATCGTCACCTCGTTATATTGCAGTTTTGTTTAACGAACCGATACTTATCTTTTTACGTTAATGAGTGTGGCAGTTTTCGCACAAAGAACTGTGTCGGTGCTTTCTCGTAATTTTTATGAGCTTAATATAATGCACGATGTGATTGCAATTTCGCAAATTATCAAAATGAAGATGATAATATTGCAATATATGGTTTGAAAAATATGCTTTTTTTTTAAATTGTTGATGTATACATTTCGTTAAATTAGAAATCATTATTTTGAACAATTAGCCTCGAAATTAACAAAACTTAGATCAAATTTTTGTATTATCTTAATTATACTATTGGAACAAAGAATACAAATATATTTAAATAAAAAAGGGATATATATTATTACATAAAAATTTTTTGCTTAATTGACAGTAATTGAAGCATTTTTTTTCTTATTGCGTGATATTTTAATATAAAATCTGAAGGTTTAATTTAAACTAAATCTTTTGTATGTTTTTATTGTTAGAGAGTTTAATTTGATTTTAGAAATTTTTAACGAATCTTTGCCTTTTTTTAATACAAAAAAATATAATTATTGCAAACGTCACATAATTGCGATACACACTCTCTATGATTATCGTTATAATACGGTCGAAGGATGATCCGATAAACGTAACTCTCGTTAGTTTCATCGTTAAAAGTTGCATAAGCAACTGTGCATTTGCATGCTCGTGAAATTATTTCGTACAGATATATGGCAGCTTGAGTTATTAGGATTAAGCCGATTGACAATGACGAGCTGCAAATCTCTTTAAAAAGCCATTCTGAAGTCGTTAGGGGAATACAAGAGGGCTGCGGATAGGTAGGATGAGATTGTCTATTCGGATTACGAGTGCAATGTGCGAACGGAGTTTTTCCGTAGACACTGAGAAATAAAATCCAGCAAAATAATCGCTTCGTCATTTGGTTAGCTGCACGCCATTTCTGGTTGTACTTCTCGTAAATGGAACCTCCCATTAAAGTGTTCTGCCTCGGTGGTCCGGGTCGCTGCTCCTTAAAGTTATCCAATCAATTTCCCTGGTTTAGATCTCTTCCGATTTCTTTTTTCCTTTGTTTTCTACTTTCGCGGTGATCCGAGCGAATTACACCTACGACGTAAACTTGAAAAGAAATTTGTGCGATGTCCTGTTTTCATACGATCTTGGGAATTGAAAATATTTTTTGTTTGAAAAACTGTTAAAATCTATATCATTTTTTTTTCATCACCGAGTAACTTACTTTATTCTTTACAATGTAAGAGTGTGAAACGAAATTTGTGTCATGTATCCGTGATGTTAGAGAGAAGAAAACTTCTCTCAACGTAGCAAAAGCATGAACTTTTACTTTAAAACTTCTTATTAACTGTTTTCGATAACATGTCAACTTTATGTTTCTAACGACTTAATAAAATTTCATAAAAGTAAATTAAATTTTATTAGATGCTACCTTTTCAAATTTTTTCTACACTTTTTTAAAATATGGTAACTCCGGCAAATACGCCGCTCAAAGATATACGCCGCAGAAATTAGAAAAAATAGAAGGAGTGGGAATAATTTTCCGGCAACTACGCTATTACATGCCTTTATGTTATATTAATATTATGTTATGATTTCAGGTTTCTCTTATTGTTAGTATTACTGAAATTATTGTGAGTTGTATTGATTTGCCACTGTAATAAATAGCGTCATCAGAAATTATAATTTACATAATACGATTATTGTAGGATATGTAAAAAACTTAGTGGTTATTATCACTTTATGATACATAAGAGTAGAGGAATAGTTAAGCATGTTGTATAGCAAAATACAAGTATGCTTTGCTCTTGCATTCTTTGTTTAGTTTATTGTCTTGTATATCCCACCTATTTAAGTATAATAGACAGTACAAAGTTTTTACTGATATAGTTCGTTTACCTTAAACATAATAAATAATATTTAATATATTAAGTTTTTGTTAGGTGCGGCGTATATATATATATATGCCGGAGTTAGCCTACTTAATGATTGATTTTCCAATTAAATTTCTATCGAAACAAAATGAATGAAATACTTTCATTAAGATAAAGGTAGCAATGAAATACGTATATTTATTTAGTTTTATTTAATGTATATTGCGTGTTTAATGAATTTTAGATTTGTTTATTATAAAAGAAAAAAATTGTTTGTACTTATCTTTTCTTCAAGAAATACAATATTGCGCTTTTCTGTTAATTGCTTTACCAATTGACTTGCATATAATTCATTCTTCTGACAATAAGATGTCACAATACTTTGTAATCCGTACTAGACTTGAAAAATTCATAGAGGATTTTCTCGAGTTGAGTATTTCGCCACGAATTCAATTTCCTATCGAGGCTTTGTTCCTCGTTTCTCGTCCTGGAAAGCTCCGACATAACTGTGCGGAAAATAAAGAATCCTTATGTAACAATTTTCTACAGAATAACAGAAGAAACCTGCGCTGATTCTTTAAAATGCAACTTGTCTATATTTGACGATAAAAACTCTCTCTTCGATAAGCCCGACTACACGAGAAAAACCGTTTATTTTATGATTTTAATATTCCGTGAATAAAAAGAGAGAGAAAAAGAATAACATATATTGTTATTTTTTTCTAAGAAAAAATATATTTTTAGTTGTCAAAAATATTAGAGAAGGAACGATATTTTAATTTTTCCATATAGATTTCATGATATGGTACATAAATATCCGATCCTAGCTGCCTCGGTAAAAGCCGATTTTGCGCGTGGTAGAGCAGAGTGGAGTTTCAAATCTATTTGAAAATTTTCACATGAAGAAATCCAGGCCGTGGACACATTAGGCGAAGATAACGCAAACGGCGCGAGCATCAGTCGCGATTACTTTTAAGCGAAATGCATCACGGCATATTAGGCGCGAGTCAACCGAATTCGCGCGTACGCAACATTAAACTCGCGTACTGATGCACAGAATGAGAAAATGTATACAGGCACCTATCCCGGGCGACATGGAAGATTTATCGCGGGGTGAGTCAGTTTACAAAAGAAATGTTGGAAAAGTTGCGCCGTTCGACACGGTTCAACCCCGTCCGCGAAAGAGGAAACGCGGCAGTGAGGACGGCCGGAAGGGATGTGGATAATCTTTCCAACCGTGGATGTCATTTTAAGCACGCCATGAAGGAAAAAAATACGTGGATTCTCGTTATACATAAGGGGATCCTATAGGCATATTTATGACCAAATACTTTCCCCTTGAGAAAATTTAAGAGAATATAAATGATTGTGAGATCCTCCTCGCTGTTTTAAGGAAAAAGATAAATATATAATATATATACTTCTTACGTACATATTACTTCGATATACGTGTATTTCGCTATTTACACAGACGAGGTTTGAATAGTTTCTTTAGAACTCTTCATGAAATTTATATTTATACATCTCTTATTATTTGCTTTGGATACTACTCTGGTTGTTATATCCATTCATTGTTCTAGTTTATAAAAAGAATTGAAAGGACACTTGAGATATATTTTAGTGAACTTAGAATTCGTGACATAAACACAAGTCTGTCGTGACTTTTTTTTATCTCGCTTGTTCAGTGAGTTAAGAACTTTTGTTGCGCGTTTTAAGAAAAAAATTTTATGTACTCCCTGGATAGTTATATGATTTAATGCTTGCATTTAATAGTTGTACCACAGTTCGTATATAAACAGTTCTTCAACTTTCCAGAACAGTCTTTATATGAAGAAACTTTTGTCTCACTGAACGCATCTTCGTCAATTATACTGAAATCTTATTTAAATCATGAGGGTATTTATTTCTTTCAGATAAAAAATAACTTCTTTATTGTGTTCTTTATTGTGTTCTTTATTGTTTGCCGAAGATAACTTGAGAGTCGTTGGAATAAACCAAACAAATGGGATCTCTACTATGCAGTGTAGAATTTTGTAAGAAAACACATTTCGAAGAGACATTGCCCCGTGGCGAATTCATAACTGGTCGAGCTCGTCGCGTTGAGATTTATCCGCCGCGCTCGCGATTGCGCGAGAGACATTGTTATGGTTTCGGCTCTCGGAGTCGATCCGGTTTCGTGTTATTTTACATAAATCTGAAGCTACATCATGTCGCGTGCGACGTCCTCGCGCTGTAATTCACGCTATAGCCGGTCGCTAACTGAATTGCTTTCACTAGGCTTCCTGCCAACTTTTAAGCTCGCGTGTCAAAAGCGCTCCAATGACAGGAGATTCACGTCACACTCTAACCGCTAGTCTTTTGATCATATTAAAATGGAGGCTAAATTAATTAATTATCTGGTTTTAGCTAGTATGTCACTATTCACAATCGCCAGTTGACACATGCTGGCGAAGCAGATATATATTTTACATCGTGTATACATTGCAGAGTAAATACATTTTGGTCTATATTCATATATTCTCGCACTTAATGCTCTGCATGTAAAATATGAATTCAGGTTCTATTCTACACTAGTTAAAGTATATGTTTTTGTAAATATACCATTGAAAAAGAATAACGTGCTCTGCATTCTATATATTATAGAGAATAATTATATTCATTACAGATATACTCGTAAAATTAATTAGAAACGTATAAATTAATAACTGTGTAACTACCTATAGCAACTACATTAATTGTAAGTTGATGTTATCAATCACTGTCGTTTTCTAAATTATCGCTGTCATGTATAATATCTTGTAGATGCAATTTATAAACAATAATTTAGCAATATAAGAAAATTATATCTCTCATTCTACCTAATTGTTATTGTTTTACTTTTTAATGACTACAATTTGATTTTGATTATTTTATATTAATTATGAATTTTTACTAGCAATAACGATATTACAATCTACTGAATGGTATATCATTAATAAACAATTTTATTATTTGTTAAATTTATTTAAGAAGCAAATAATACTCTATTTGTCTTAACAATAAAATCAAATACAAAATATATACCGTATAAAGTCCGGTTACCTTACATATTGATAAAAGCGAAGATTCAAAATCAGACTTGAAAGTTCTTTTAGGAAAAAGTAAAATGAAACTTTATAATGTAAAAACTTGAAATTAATATTCTAGACAGAATATTCTAGAACAGCGATCGGGCAAATAAATTACTAGCTTCCTTCAACTTTAACATATTGTTCATACAACCACACCTTATATTTTTAGCATCGTTTCTCGTAACTAACAAGCATGCGTAAAATTGTAATTATCCTGCTAATTCCCTGCTATCCAATTTTCCCCGTTTATAGAGATTATCTTGAGTTGCAAGATACAGACATGACTCTCGAGGAAGACGAACAATAGATGATGAACTATTTAAATAATAATTAATTCTTTCAGGATAACAATAGGTTATTAATGATCTATTCAACTAATATTTAATTTTCTCTCAGAAATAATACTGTCTGTTATTTTTATTACGAGGTCACGTTGATTATTTTCTTACCTTTCTTGGACGTACGAAACGAATCGTCCTTAGGCACATATTGGATATCGTAAACCAATGTCGTATTCGCCAATAGAGTCTTATCCTTGTTGATTTTGTAAATGGCATATTTGAATGCTAATTCCGACGGACTATCCTTCTGATCCTCGGTGAAGATCGCTCCTGTAACAATTTAATAAAAATCTTTTTTAAACATTAAAGTTTTTATCTCCGAAATTACACAATGTTACAGCCATGAATTATTGATGTTAGATACCGTCCAAATTATCGTACTGATAAAATATTATTTTCAATAATGCCATAATAATAAAAAATATAATATAGAAACGTAATCCTTTTTGCAGGAAGATATAAACGTAAAATTTGTTCCAGAAATTTATTTCGGAATTATTGTAAGAATTTTATTTCTGTGTCGAAAAGTTACGAGTTGATAAAATTTATTTAAACATGCATTTTTTATAAAAAGCAAATAATTTTTGTGGTTAATTAATTATACATTTTATTAATTTTTTAAATTAACACACATCGGAAGAAAAATATTGAAAATGAAAGAAGTTAAAATTGATCAAAATGATAATTGCGTTTAAAATTTAATTCTCTTATGATTCGAGATTTTATCTCATAATTTTTGTTAAATAACAGATTTTAATATACATACTTATTAATTGCCTACCATTTTACTGGCGATAAGAGAGTATAGAAATTTATCCCAAAATTATGTTATACTTGAATCGTGAATAGAATTTCTCGGGGGAAACGCGTCTATATCAGAAGCAGAGATGAAACTGGTAACACAGACGAATCCGAAAAGAAAATTCCGGCGCGGCGCCACTAAAAGAAACTGAATTCATTGAAAGTTATAACCGAGTTCGTGAACTTGCAATAACGATCTCTTCCGTATCTGTCGTACATATCTACCTACATATACAATGGTAAGGTACTGTGCGATTCTCTCCTAAATTTAATTAATGACTTCACCACGGCATAGCTCACTTCGAACGCGAGTTTTAATTAAATTCGAATAATTACCGCGGCCAAAACCACGGTCGCGGTATCAGGAAGTACTTCAGTAGAAATTTTCTCGTAAACCAAACCGTTGACTTTACGTCAAAAATAATCAACACTGAAAATTACGTTTATGAAATCAACAAAAATTGTTTGAAATAAGCTAATATAGATAGCATAGAGATTGATAAAATGTTTAATTAATTCAAAAGTCAATATATCCAGTATAAATATATTTTTATTTTATCAGATAGTTTGTTTTTAAAATACAAGAAATATTGGTTAACAATGCAAATCAGCGAAAAAATATTTTTAATTGCTTATAACGAACAATATTTGTCTGTAAAGTTGCGCGTTTGGTTTTTGTTTCTTTGCAATCAGCATGTTCGGCGAATAGAACGATCGAAGGGTTTTTCTATTTTTACTGTTATATCTACAAATCCGATGATCGTGCTTTTTAATATTCTCCTGTGCTAAAAACTAATACTTTCGTAAAAATACTCAGGAAATAACATGAAGTCGTAATTGATTGTTTTTTTTTTTATTTTGTATTGCCCTTTACATGAAATTCTGGGAACGCAAATCTTCAGTCGTTTAAAAGCAGCTTAAATAAAGAAGCTTTACTGCTCGAAAATTGCTTAACTAATATATAATAAATGCATAGTACGTTGGTTTTCCCTTCTTTACATTACTATCGTTTTCATGACCCCGATAATTAACTTTACTTCTTTTTTTGTTCGTAAATTTATCAAATAAAACTCTTTTCAAAATACCATTTTCTACATCAGCTTTATTGCAACTAATCCATTTTGAAGTAATCCGATCGTTAATCTCCAAAAGCACTCTTCGTTCAGTAACTTCAATTTTCCGGCTCTATCTGACAACACGGTGCCACTGCAACCTTTGTAGTTTTTACACGAGAGATCAATTTTTCTTTTACGAAAAGGAACTGGTATTTTTTATTTAAAAAAATCAGATTATTATGTTAATACTTTATTAAAGATATTTTACATTCATGTTTTGAATATAATAAAAATTCATTGTTTATAATAATTAAAATTAAAACGTAAAATAAATTATTTATACAATGTACACATTATTTACTTAATGTTAACACGATTCAATTTAAAGTCTAATTATTAGTTTGTTAATTAGATTTAGTAGAAGTTTATATTATTATATAGTGAAGCAGTTTTAGGATAATTATCCTAATTAGGAGTGTTTACCCTTTGTTTTAAATCAGATTTCTCCTAATTATCTCCCTTATCTTATCAAACTTCCTAATAAAGCGTGTACGATATTGTTTTGCAAAATCTAATGTTATCTTAGGTGTTTAATTTTATATTATTTAATAATATGAGTACTATGAGTATTATAAATAATATGAAAAATTTGCATTTAATCATAACTTGTGGACATGTAAATTTATCTTCGTTATGTTCATAATATTCTCTAAGGAATGAAACTCTTTCGCCAAATCAATCTTCGTCACTCGCTTTGAAGAAAATCAACGATTCCATGCAGCCAATTAATTTAAACGATGTCATTGATAGAAGCTATTTTACGTGAATGTTTAGTTTAAATATTTTTAGTCTTTGTGGATTTATTCTGTCTAGATATTTTACGTGAATGTTCACTTTGAATATTTTTAGTCTTTATGGATTTATTCTGTACATATATTTGATTATAAATACTTTTCAGATTAACAAATTATAAAAATCATTAATACAACATTTTTTAAATAAATATACAAACTAAATAAAAGTAATCGATTAATATAAAAATGTCAAGTCATAGCATGAGAATTCAAAGAATTATTTTATTATAATATCAAATTGATCCCAAGTAATAATTTTACAAGTTTACTTGGTCAAGTTATGGCATGAGAATTCAAAGAATTATTTTATTATAATATCAAATTGATCCCAAGTAAACTTGTAAAATTATTACTTGGGATCAATTTGATATTATAATAAAATAATTCTTTGAATTCTCATGCTATGACTTGACATTTTTATATTAATCGATTACTTTTATTTAGTTTGTATATTTATTTAAAAAATGTTGTATTAATGATTTTTATAATTTGTTAATTTGAAAATTATTTTGGAAAATAATATATGTAATATAAATAAATTTCTTTAGTATATATTACATTATTTAATAAATTTATTTGTGTCACGTGAAGAATTGAATTACACACACACACACACACACACGTGTATATAATATTTTATTTTATTAATAATACGTTAATGACATTTAGACGAAATTTATATAGTAAGTACTAGCACTTAGCTATGCAGCAGATGTTAACCTAGTCATATCTGACTCTCTCTTCAACTACATACAATAATCATGTGTACTCTACGTCTACTCAATAGTTGAATTGTCTCTTGGGTGTCGCCGAATACACGAATAGCTTTCATATTTCGGTGACGGTGATTTTACCGTTAGAAGAGATTAACAGAATGACTCTCTTGATGATTGTTTTATCCCTTCCTACACTAAACATGTTTCTTTCATACCTTGTAACAATTGTCATTTGCATTAGAATTGATTCGTGAAATGTAAGAATATAGTCACAATTTATATAATGTATATAAGAAGTATTGACATATAATTCATAAAAATTCATAAAGTTAGGCTTATTTTTCGTGCTCTAGAGTGGCTTTACCACTTAAAGGAATATACAGATTTCCATAGAAAATTTCAAGTTTACATTTTTCTTTTGCATTGCATGGAGGTATCATATTTTAATCCGTAATGATTGTATTAAATATTAATTTTATACAGTTGTTCGATTCCATATATTTTGATATTATAATTTATTAAAATTAGCTGAGAATATAAAAGAGAATTTATTCGCGATAAATATTTTATAAAGTATTAAATATTTTGAGATCCGATTGTGTGATTATTCTGTATAATTAGCAATGATTAATTATTTATTAACATTTATGATAATAATTTGTAAATGGATTAAGGCAATAGGCACTTATCGATCAGTTTTTCACATGAATTCATACAAGCAGAAATCCAAATGGTAGGATAATAACTATTATCGTTATATTATGCGATATTAGCGAGTAAGTCTTCTCTAATATAGGCTTTTAAATTGTATTTTTAAAATTGTACATTATTACTTTATATTTTCCAATTTAATTCGTTCAGTAATTTCCAATTATTATGAAAGTGTGAAGTAATGATATAATATATTCTGGTATTAAAAAATATTTGATAACAGCTAACTTATCAAAATTTCTTTTTTCAAAAGTAAAGAAAGGAATATTCAGCATTTATTTTTGTCTCTTCTATATGTATATAATATTTTATGGAAATGACAACTTGGCTGGAGCATGTGGCTTTGGCGTCTGTTTATGCGACGTACCGCATACAGTGTTTGCAGTCGGTCGTCGCACCATCATTCGTACGGCAGTACTTGAAAGGGCAGACAGCATAGCGCTAACCGTTTTATGTAGACTGTGTATTTCACATTTCATCTCGAGACGCAATTGCAACAAGTATGAAATGCCAAATGCATTCCCTATAAACAATTATGTTATTAAGTATAGCACGTGCGATTAATCTCTGCAATTGATAAGTGCATCGAGATGATGTTTACTGTTAAAAATATGCATTTCAAATCGAATTTAATTAATAAATACATCGATTACTCATTAATCTTACATTTGTTTGAGAATCAGCTTTCAGGTGTAAATGGAATCATAACTCGTAACTTTTTTTTTGAACATTTTCGTAGTCATACATATTGTAGCATATATTTTAAAATAATATATTTAAACTCAGATAATTATGTAATTATTATTGTAAAACAAAAGTTGTATTATTTATGCCAATTTTATTTAAATTTTAATAACCTATATATTCATTAAAATTTATTGATAACTGTATTATTTAAAACACAAAAAACATAAAATATTTTATCGTCAAATTTGTTATATGTAAATTATTCCAGAATCAATTATATGGTACATGAATTAAAATATTTAATTAAATATATATTTCTCTTAATGTAATATTAAAAATAATTCAGATAGCTTCTATAGAAAATTATAATAATAAGATATGTATATATTAGTTATATTATTTATATTGTGAGAAAGAGAAAGCTGTAGATAGAAATGTGTACTGCG